CGGTTCCTGCAGCGCGTGGCCGCAGCCTTGGCGAGCCCTAGCCGCGCGCGACCGCCGCCGGTGCGCGGCTCCTGCCCGCGAGCGGCCGCCGCCTTGGACGCGGGTTCTGCCCGCGTGCGGCCGCCGCCTGCTGCACTGCAGCGCGGGGTGGTACACAGCCCTTAAGCGGTAACAAAAATTTTCGCCTCAATAACAGCGATAGTAAACAGTAAATTCAACGATCTAAACAAAAATATCAGCGGTAATAAAGATTTTCGCCTCAATAACAGTGATAGTAAACATTAAATTCAACGATCTAAACAAAAATAATAGATCTCGCCTAATAACACCGATAGTAAACAGTAAATTCAACGGTAAATTCAACAATGATAATACGAAAAAATTTTATGAGATTGAATTAATAAACCTTATCTGATCTATAGGCGCACCATCGCCGGATCTGAGATAAAAAACCTTAGATAGAAAACCTTTAATCTGTTAATTGTATTGAGATTCTTATTTAATCTCTTTTGTCTATTTATAGACGAGAATAGAGGATATAAGATAAATTATTAGAATAGTACATCTAATCATTTTTATAATATATTTTATTTAATTAAATAAGAATATATAATCTAATACTTGAAACATCTAATTGCCAAAGAAAAAAGAAAAAAAATATCCTTAGTAAATTTATTTAATGGAGATATTGAATTCTTGAGACCCTAAATGAGCATAAAAAAGATATAGATACAAATCCATTTGTGAAATTTAGGAAAAACAATTGATACACATAAAAAAGTATTTGTGTTAGTCTGTTTTAACTACATGTTTTCTATTTAAAAAAAAAAATGTTTGAGGAACATATTACATACTAAGCCATACTTCTCATAACATAAAAGAGGAAATAAACCACAGGTCATTTGTTTTTCCCGGTTTGGACGATCTTTATGTTTTTAGCATATTCTGCAAACTACTGTACACAATTATTTTCTTATATATATATATAATATGTTTTCTAAAAAAATATTATAAAAATTAACATAAAAAATAGATAATCTATTCAAATTGATTCGAATCGAACCGTTAAGGATCAAACCAAATTAAATCGTTTTTTGATTTGATTAAAATACGATAGTATGAATCAGAATTAATTCTGATATATCTAATCGAACCGATTAATCAATTTATAGTTTTAAATAATTTTTATTATTCATAATATTTTAGAACATAGAGAACATAGAGATAAAGATCATGGATTAGCGTTAGCATACAAAGTCTAAAATTGATACATCCATGAAGAACATAGAGATAAAGACCATAAATGGCATTTCCAATGGTTAGTCCTCAATAGTACTTAAGACTTTATCTTAATTCCCTATTGTTTTGCTACTAAGAACTGTTTTGTTATCACATTAGCAAACTCACTAAGCAGTGGATTACCGGATGGCGGTGTCCGTCCTTTGCCAACCTTTCAGCGTCGCATGGGCGGAGCCTCCGCTCTCCATGGCTCTTCTGCTCGCCAGGCTCACCTCTGCAGCCTTTGCCCTCACCATCTTCCCTCCCTCGCCCTCCTCCATCAAGCGCCTCACCCCTCTCTCCACCCCCTCCGCGGTCACAAGGTCCCCGGGCTTCCTCTCCACCCTGATCTCCACCAGCTCCCTCACCATCTCCAACGCATTCAGGTGCTGCTCCGCGTACGGTGTGGCCATGAGAGCATAGGCACGCCGAACCACAAGCTCTCCAGCGCCGAGTTCCACCCGCTTTGCGTCACGAACCTGATGCGGCCCACGACGGCCACACCATTCCCCTCCCGCCCGTCCTCTCCGCGAACCCTTCCGGCAACGCCTCCTCCGGCGTCGCATCGACCGGTACCCGCGTCTTCCCCGCCGAAGGCTTCCGCAGGTACCAGAGGAACCGCCGCCCTCTGCGCTTCAGTCCGACGGCGATCTCGCGGACCTGCGCCACGCCGAAGCTGCCCATGCTGCCGAAGCAGAGGAACACCATCGAGGCAGGAGGCTGGCCGTCCAACCACCTGATGCACGGGTGCTTCTCCCCGCCGGTTCTGCTAGTATCCTCCCGGAGAGCGAGGATTGGACGTATCGGGCACAGGGGCGGCACCGGTCGGCGTGGGGGCACAGAGGCCTTCCTCGATGGCCTTGAGCGGCCGTGCTCGAGCTCCGCGAATGTGTTGATTATGATGCCTTTGGTTTCCAAGAACCGCCGGCCGTGGTACACGAACCAATCGTAGTTCCGGTTCTTGCGCTTCATGAGAGGAGTCGGCATGGCCTGCGGCGGTACCAGAGACACGCCCGGAACGTAGACGTCCCCTTCCATCTCCTCGAAGCTCACGGGGCTCTTCTCGGCGAGCGTGGGTAGATGGAGCATGAGGGCGAGCATGGCGGCGGTGGAGCTGAAGTAGACGAAGGGCGGGATGCCGAGCTCGCGGGCTACGTCGATCAGGATGGTGGCAAAGAAGTCCAGGACCAAGGCGGCCACGTGGGTGGACGAGGAGAGGGACGCCACGGCGACCCTGGCGCAAGGCTTGTGGTTCTCGATGTGACGGGAGATGAAGTCGTTGGGGCCGTCGGTGTCGGCCGGAAGCTCCACGGGCGGAAGCTCCTGGAAGCGAATGTCGAGGCCGGAGGAGGCGGCGGAGCGGAGTTCGGAGGCTGCGCTTGTGGTAGGTGGTCGTCTGAGGAGAACGGTGGCAGGTGGTCTCTCTCTCTCTCTCTCTATATGCTCCGTTGCTGTGTGCGGGTTTAACCAAATGCGGTGAGGTCACGTGCAAGGTGTTATCGGGTCGGTTCCACGTAGAATCCGAAATCAACGCCGATCCGAACCGATTTCTCAAAAAGAAAAAAAAGCCTAAAACGAGGTTTTTTAATTCAGAAATTCACAATAATAATAACAATAATAATAATAATATGGTAATTAAGGTTAATTTTCTCTCTGTGACGCAAGAAAGGGATGTTTCTTCCAAGGGAAGACACGGTGAGAGCCGCCCTCGCGATTAAGGCCGCAAAGGGCTCCTCTTCCCTTCTGCCACACGCCACGAACGATGAGATGGTGGACCCCGTCGTCGGCGCCTGGGTCCTCGAGTTCCTCCTCCGCCGACGTGACGTCGGCGACGCCCTCGCCGGCGAGCTCCTCCTCGCCCTTCCCCTCCCCTCCCCGCTCCCCCCCCGCCTCTCCGCCACCCTCCTCCTTCGCCGCCTCGCTGCCGACCTCTCCCGCCGCTCGGTGTCCCCCCGCACCCTCCATTCCCTCGACCTCCTCCACCGCATCCTCCCCTTCCCCTCCCTTGCCCCCGCCTTCACCGCCGTCGCCGTCGAGTGCACCGTCGCCCCTCTCCGCCTCCCACCCCTCTCCTCCTCCGAATGCGACGCCGAGTTCTTTGACGCCGTCAATAGGATATGGAACTGCCTAGTGGCAGACCTCGAGCGGTCGGAGGCCGCCGGGCTGGTGTCCTGCGCGTTGAGGGAGGCGAGGATGGAGATGGAGGCGGCCGTCGTGGATCCCGCGCTGAGGGCCCAATTGGCCCGGAGGGAGACCAAGGAGGCCGCGCTGGTGGCGGTTCGGGTTTGCTTGGAGGAGATGGAGAAGGAGATGGGTCCGACGTTTCTTGAGGCTGCGGCGGACGCCATCGTTAGTTGCGATTGCGAGACCCATAGGTCCTTGGTGGTATTGAGCGACAAGCTGAGAGCTTTTCGCTCCATTGGGCTCGAATCTGTCGAAAGGGGTGTGGAAATAGGTCACCTCCCAAGCAAGATTGACAGGGCAAGATCGACAGGTTTGTTGGAATTAGGTACCTCTGTTCTTTTTCTGCAAATAATTAGATCTGTTTACTGAAATTATAATAAATCAGCTAGTTCTTTGATATAAGCAATTTGATATCTCAGTTGAGGGTGGTGAAGGGATTAAGCTGAATGACAGAAATATTGAGAAAGATCAGATGAGAACCGATCAAGAACAGGGTTACTCAGTCGACAAGAATTCCATGAGCTGTGAACTACAGGAAGTATCTGATCATAAAAGTTGTGATAACAACTACGATGATGTGCCTCAGTCAGGTCAGATGGATCCAGTTCCACCTGATCCGAAGGATGTGAGAAAGAAGCATCACAATATTTCTACAGATACATTTTTGCATCCTAGTGAAAAGCGTATTAGATACAGCAATTTAGATGCCAACACTGCAACTAATTTAGATGCTGCTACAATGCAGAAGCCCAGCTTAATGGATAGGAATGCAACTGCGCACACATTTGAGGTGACAATTTCTTATACTGTTATCATCTTTGTCAAATTCATTTTGTTAATGATGTTTAAAATGCATCCAAAGCCTTTTCTTTGATTAGGTCCCGGTGTTGCTTGGTGTGTATATATCTTGCTTGGTTTGTTGGCTAATTCTTTTGATCCTTCGTAGTAGCGTAGTGGATTCTCATGTCTGACACAATGATAATTTAGACATCTAAATACATTTGGATCTCTTTAAAAAAATTATTGTTTTGTTATGTTGGAAAAAAGAATGCTTAATAAATATGACAAGTGGAGATACTTAGGCTGTTTTTACAAATGAAGTCTATATATCTGTTGGTCTAAAATCTTAATCATACTTAAATTTGATGTTTTGTGTGTTTTCTTCTTTTTATTTTTTGGATATATGTGAGAAAGGTCATTAAGTTGTCCAAACCAAGCATATTCTAAGAAACTTAATCCCCCAGTCGAAGAACACTAGTTTGCTTTGCCCTTCAATACCTTAATCCAGAACATAGAAATGCTGTATATTTTGATAGATAATTGTGTGTGGAGGTGCTTGCTGCTCAGTGATAGTTGGGCAGGACAGGATGCTCATCTCAGATATATTTAACTTAAACTTATACACAATATTCTTTTCAACTAAAGCAACCAAATTTTCACAACTTAACAATGATGCAAACAAAGTTTTCTTTGCTTTGTTTATTTTTCTCTTGGTTTTTTCTAACTGTTCTGTAGATTTAAAGTCCAAGTGGGATCTCCAGAGTTATCAAAACTAAAGTTTAATGGACTTGTAAAGATAAAATGATATTTTGGTTGAAAACCTTGGTTTCAGTGTAAAGATGATCCTTTGTCAGAGAACTGCAGGTAATGCGTCCATAAAAGTTGGAACAGGTTTAGTTTGAAATGAATGAGGGAGGGACGGTTAGTCTCAGCTAGGTCTAAATAAGATACGATAGGTAACTGGTAGACAAAAGAGTAAGATGAAAAATGAAAGGGACAATTTTTGACTTTAAAACTCATAAAATTTCACTACTATGCATGACTTGGGACAATAAAGAATTGATTAACTAGTACTAGATGACAAGAAATTTGATTTTTTTTTTTAATCTTCTTACTCTGCAGTGGGATTCAATTCCAACTCATTATGGGAAATCCCCGAATATGAAAAAGGAGATGGACTATTTCAGCTCAATGAACTCAAAGTCTTCTTCATCTTTAAATGAGACTAAAGAATATGTTTTAAGGAGAAGAAAAAGGAAATGGAATTCATTAGAGGAAGAGACCTTGAGAAAAGCTGTGGCACGGTATGTTTGGACTCATGCTTTCAAATGGTGTTTTTGAAATATAACAAATCCTTTTGCTCTATTTTGTTTCGTATCTGTATCATGCAAGATTTTATACTGTTATTCATTCTTTTTGTTCACAAATAGCTTAAATTGCAATCTTAATGTTTGATTTCCTGAATCCTCTAATTTCTTGAATGATGCATATAATCTGTGATGCTCATATCTCTGTTTATATGAAGATATGGTGCAGGGAACTGGAAACTTATCAAGGGATGCCATCCAGAAATATTCGAAAGAAGAACAGAGGTATCTTGCATTATATCAGCCTTAGGAGTCATATTTGTTCTTTGTTAAATTCAATTCTACAGTTAACTGGATTCACTACCGTACAGGTTGATCTAAAAGATAAGTGGAGAAATATGACGAGGCATATGTAAGTGCTTATGGCAAAGAAAATGTTCCACTCCAGCCTCCAGGGACATGTATGTATGCTGATCAGTGTCGTGTGGCTTTTCTTGATTCTTAGCTTCGTATCACTTTTCAAACTAACAAAAGTGCATCATCTTATGTAATCTTTCTTTAGGCTCGACAACGGTGTGCATACAGGAAGTAGGAAAGTTGTCGAAGTTGAGCAATGCTGATCTTGTGGGCAACAGCCGGCCGGCACACTGCTGCTGAGATGATCATACATCTATTTGCATTCGGCCTTATCTCCGCAGATACAGAGGCTGCTTCTGCGGATCAAACTCATAGATATGGTCTCCAATTCCAGTAATTGCTGACTCCATTTCCCTTGGTGATTGGTATCTGCCTCAGTATCATTCTCCCAAGCTTTCTCACCGAATTCAGATGTCCTTTCCACTGCTCCAGGCCAGACATATATGACGCTGCATTCTTCCTTGCCTAAACTTAGGTTTATGTGATCAATTGTTGGTACCAAGGCTATTGTCTCAATAAATTTATTAGTTCTCTAAATCTTTCTCCCTCACTGTTCATGTTTAACTATTGTCTTATTTACACATGTATGGATTTGTCTTGCTGAGTTTGTCTTGCCTCAGCAAGAGAAGAAGGGCATAACTGTACCGAGTTTTTCTTCTTGTCTACTATTTTGCCTAACATTCTCTTTTCTTCTCCATCTGTATCACTGCAAGAATGGTAAAGCAAAAGCATGGAGATGTACATAACACATACTAGTGTGTGTTGTTTGTGCGTACGTGTTATAAGGGGCCATCTGTTGAGGAGGAATGTCAAATATGCACGTGCAACGCACGCTGAAGCTCGCTTGGTGCGTGCACGTGACGCGCTAATGACGCGGTGCGCCAGCGCCCAAAAGATCTCCTACCGTCACGCGCCGTGCACGTGTCTATTAGTTCTTGGCGCCCCCCTCCCCGACTCGCGTGACAACAAAACCCTACGACGGAGATCACTCCCCACCCCCCTTCTCCCGACCCGTCTCTCGCCCTCCGCCGCGAGCGGGTGAGATCTACCCCTCTCCCCTAATCCAAAAGTAAGTGCCTCTCTCTTCCTTCGTATTAGATCTATTCGGGTGATACCTCAATCCGTGGAGCGATCTTGATCTCGCTGTGTTAGCGAAGCAGTGATCTTTATCCTTGCTAGTGTCCAGCTTTTCTTTCCCTTCTCTTTCGTCTTCTCTTGTTGATTGGAAATTGGTTTCAACCCAGAATCATGTCGAACTTTCTTGATTTGCTTGCTAAGTAGGGTTTTGGGAGAAATCCTTTGGTTAAACCGGAAACCCTTGTTCGTGGGTGCTCGAAAATGTCGAGTCTGCTTTTGATTCGGTGGTTTTTTCAGCTTAAATTTGTACTTGATGTAAGAGATAGAGAGGCGTGGGTGTTGATACCAATTATAATTCTGTAGCTGTAGTCTAAGAACAGTTTGGAGTTTAGCTAGACTACATGTATTCTAGATAGAGTAATAGTTTACACCCTTCATGAATTGGGGTCTTTATTTGAGCTTGTTTGGGGATTTCGAGATGTCGAAACTTTCTAATGGCTTGTACAGTTGAGAAAATCAAAGGGCAAAGGAGTATGCTTGCTATGGAATAAAGATAGATATTGCTGATTTTATTGCTAATGTTTGCTTATAGGTAGCCTCGTTAATGAAGCGAAGGAACTGTGATTGACTGCTAAGTTGTACATTGTACCTTATACGTGATATTTCATATGATAACCTATAGTGGATGATGGAGCCCTATGCTTACTAGAATCGATGTATGGTCAAGACCTTCTTGTACTCGGTCCAACATACACGGGCAAGCTTTCCTGCTAATCTGTAATTGCTGCTTTAATCTGATTCATGAAGTTCAAACCATTTGCATCTCCTTTTGTGTTAGAATGAATCATCTAGGTTTGATCTTTTTCTTAGAAGCTCCTGGAGCTATCACTACTTCAGCTCTGGAGCTCATAGTTGCCCTCTCGATCATCTATAGTATAGGAATTTCAGCATAAATTTGCAGATAGGCACTCAGGTGTATCTGAATCTCTAGAGCAGGAATCATATGTAGAAAGTAGTATTAGTTTGGTCATCACAATCTTTCTTACCTGTTTCATGAGGTAATTCAGGTATGGCTCATCGGCGGGTCTTCTACCATCTATGTGGTTTATGTGATTGAGTTGGGCATCACAAAGAGCTGCTCTGTTAACACTTTTTGGTCTCAGCATCTACTGGCAGTTGAGAATCTATTGACATTTGATTGAGGTCATGGTTGTTGAGGGTGAATTGATTAATATTCAGAATGCACCGCTTCAGTTCTTTGAGCTCTCCACCATGCCAGTTGCTGAAAAGCTAGCACTAAAAAAGAAGTTGAAAACAGAACTTGACCATGTGCGATCTGCAGTTGAAAACATTATAGCAGACTGTGAGAGAAGATTAGGTCAAAAGCATTCTGCTGCTGAAGAAGACCAAGCAGTAATACTAGGAAATGATTGTGCTGGTGAAGTTGTTGCATCCATCCATTCCTTCTGTATTCCTGAGCAGCAGCCTTCCTTGACTGGTGAGAACTATCAGACAACAATGAGCAAGAGAAAAATAGCACTGGAAATGAATACAAACCCTAAAGATGCTGATAATTACTCTAATGATGGAATAGATATGATTCCTGATAAGTCTGATGCAAAGTCTGTTCTGACAGGCCCATCTAAAGGTTCCACTCTAGGAACTTCTGATGCACTGAAGGTGAAAGGTGAGAAAATGGATTCCTTCAAGACTAGGCAGTGTGCTAATATTTTGAAGATACTAATGATTCATCCTGCTGGGTGGGTGTTTAAGGAACCTGTGGATCCAGTGAAACTAAAAATTCCAGATTATTTTTCAATTATCTCCAAGCCAATGGACTTGGGTACTATAAAACGGAAACTTGGAAGAAAGCAGTATTCAAGCACTGTACAATTTGCTGCAGATGTAAGGTTGACTTTCTCCAATGCGATGCGATATAATCCTCCTGAAAATGAGGTTCATGTCATGGCTAAGGAATTAAATAACATTTTTAATTCAAGATGGAAATTACTGGAAGCAGAATGGAGAAACAAAAGCACACTTTCTTCACAGTCAGTGACAAACACTCAGAAGAAAAAACGGTTACTCGAGAAAAGGCCTGATCCAAACTCTGTTTTGAGAAGGTTCATACCATCTGCTGAAAAATTGAAGCTAAAAAAGGAATTGTCAAATCTACCAGTAAGGAAAATGCCACCTCGACTGCTTAGTTTTCTTCAGAGCAAAGGTATAGTGGGACAAATTGGAGAATTTGTCGGCATAGACATTGATATGTTTGATGAAGAGACTTTATGGGAATTGCATCAACTTGTAAGAAATTTTATTGATGGAACACCAATTGAGGTAAGTAGCAGCCTGCATGTTTAGAAATATTGTGCTACTGTGTTATTGCCTGTTGGTAGTTATCCAAAAGGGCTTGTTTCTGTTTCATTTTTAGCATTAAACTGACATTTGAAATATCCACATTTTTTGAGCAGATAAAGAAATGTACCAGGAGACCTGAGCAGGACTCACACAAAGGTCTGGATAGCATAGTTTTCTTCACATTTTCTGCACTATAGCTTCTAGGAACTAATCAAAAGTTGTAATGTAGGCCCAGGTGAAACTGTGCTCCAATCTGATGTTATTGATGAGTTCGTGAGCCCTTTGGCTCGGATGAAAAGTGCACATAGAACTGTAAGTTGCCAGCGGAGTCATTGTAATGACTCAAGTCAAGCTTCATCAAGTGGTGAGTTAGTGTGTTGTTAGTTTGTGTATTCTACCTATTTTTCTGATGTTTATATGTCTTTTATGACCTGGTCAGAAGTAGATTCTGGAAGATCTTCACGTAGCGAGCATTACTCTCGCCGTTCAACTGCAAACAGTTTGGTATGAGCCCGAGTGAGTCGATAGATAAAAAACAACATATAATACAATGGTTAACTCATACCTTTTCTTCACTGCTTTTGGCAGGACTGGGAAAAAACACCAACAGGTATGCAGAAGGATAACATATTCTGTGTACTCAAATTCACCATTAAGGATGCATTTTAATTTAACCGAGGTTAAAACCTTGTAAATGCTGAGTAGAGGTTGTGAAATTTGCAGGGTTTGGTCTCCAGAGTAACGATTCCATACAATCTATTTCTCATCCTCCGAGTCCACTGACTGCTGCTACAGAAGGTTCTGATAGGAGTCCTTTCTTTCTTCAACTTCTTTTGTGTGTGGGGCTTGTTTGGTTGTGAATTTGAGAAAGAATCATTAGTGGTCTTCTGCTGTTGTTTCCCATCGAGCAGATCTAGGTCCTTGTGAGGAACAATTATCACCATCCAAAGCTCTTCGTGCTGCAATGTTGAAGAGCCGTTTTGCAGACACCATTCTGAAAGCACAGCAACAGTCACTTGTAAATGGACTACCCACCTTTTGTGTTTTCATGATTTCTGATGTGTAAATTGTTCTGTCAAATATTGAACCCAACCTTTTTTACTACATTGCTTTATTGCTTAACTACATTAAAATTTTATAGGGTGTAAAAATAGACCCAGCAAAGTTGCAACGAGAAAGAGAAAAGTTGGAGAAAAGGCAGCGGGAAGGTATATTGGTGATGCACATGATAACATATACAGAATCATAGTTAGTTAGAAATGTGATGTAGTGATTTTAATAAAAAAGATTATTAGGTGCAGTATGTTGATATATATAAAATATAAATTTTACCCTAAATATACATATGCATATTTAACTTTCTTGTTACTTGGAACAGAGAAAGCAAGGATCGAGGCACAAGTTAAAGCTGCTGAGATTGCAGCAAAAATGAAGGCAGAAGCTGAGCTGACGAGGCAAAGAGAAGCAGCACGCTTGGCATTGCAAAAGGTGCATTGCTAGGGAACGCATCTTGCTGTTTCTTCCCTTGGGGGTTGATAACTGATCTGAAAGCATTTTGTTATCTTATGTTTGACAGATGGAGAAGACTGTTGAAATTGATAACAGCCACATATTGAAAGATCTAGAAAACTTAGGCTGTCCTCTGCCCGGGCACTTTGATATGACTGATGAAACGGTGGGTAAGTTCATGCAAGAACTTGAAATGCACTCGGGTCTTGTGAATCCACTGGAGCAGTTGGGTTTGTTCATGAAGAATGAAGATCTTGATGAGGTTGACGAGTGGATTTCATCTGCTGGCAATGGTGATGTCGAAGAAGGGGAGATCGATGGGTCATAGTTATTATACATTATTGGAACCTTCTTTGTGGCAGGCTACGATGGTTGTGTTTAAAAAATACATACAAGTGCTATATTTAAGTGAGAAAGGAGTTTCAGCTTATGATTATAATGTATGCTAAGCAACTGCACTGGTCATATGATGTACTTGAAGAGGGAGTGTCTGCTGAGCAACAAAGAAGCCCAAGTAAGGGAAGAAACAAGTAAAAGAAAAAAAAGGACTACGAGGAAAAAAATGATTTATATACCATTGTCTGCTTGATGCTGTTCTTTGTGATTGTCAAGTTGATTGGGATTAGGATCGTGATTTGGATCAAAACTCTTAGGTCGTGTTTATATTGGTCTTGGAAGGAAAAAAAAAGTGTAGTTTTATACCTTTAGAGTTGTTTGACATATTATTGTGTATTTTGACATGATTAACTAATACTATTTTTATGATTAGGTATCCTTGAAGTACTTTGTTAGATTTGCAATCTATGCTATTTTTATTGTTAGATATCCTTAGAAGTAATTAACTATTCAAATTTGAATGCTTGAGATGATGATATGATCATGGTCAAAGCATAGCCCTCTCTCTTAAAGCAACAACAAATCCTAAAGATGATGATACCACAATCATCATAGTGCTGTTTCACAAGACTGCCTTTTCATATCCAGAAATCGAGCATCCTCTGCCCGCTCCAAACTCTGTCAGTCAGGTAGCTAAGGAAAAGAAAATGTAAGATGGCAATGAGAAAAAGAATATACTACATAACCTCAACGAAGAACATAATCAATCATGTCCGCGATAATTCACTACATAATTAAAATACAGCCCCACACACACACCTAGCAATAGCACAATCATAACATTACATGAACTACAACATGACCCCCTCAGAAAGGATGCCTAAAGTTGATTGTCTTCTATTATTCTAAAATCACAATAGTAGAGCAAATATAAGGCTTCCAATTCTTGTTCATCATTATCGTCATCGTCCATTTTGCCTTTCGTAAGGCAAAGTTGGATAAACTTAGCCACCACCACCAGACCCATACTTCTTTCCCAAGACGATCACCTGGAGCTTGTCATAACCAGCCAGAACACCCGCGCCAGCGACGGCACGTAGGATATTTGCACCGGCACCCTTGAAGAGGGATTTTGCACCCTCATTCTTTACGATCTGCGAGAAGGCATCCATAGAGTTCCGGTACTTGACGGCTTCTCCTGAGGTCATCATCATCCTCCGACGGACAGTGTCTAATGGGTAGGAAGCAAGACTAGCACCAATTGTAATTCCCCAACCAAGCAAGAAACTTGCAAAGAAATTATCCTGAATGGCAAACACATCATAAGATTCCTCTTATTTAACTTTGAATATGATACTGATAATTGTTTCATAACATCATAGCCTGGATTTAGAAGGTATGAAGATAACATTCTAGTATATTATGCATCAATTTTCTGCAAGTGGCAACATCCAATGTTTACAAAGGGCATATCTAGATTAAACAATGCATCAATAATGATCTTATTCCAGTAGCTCACTATGGATTGATCTAGACATAGTACTAAGTAGCTCAAAATTACATCATAGCATGTAAATAATCCCACTGCATTATACTCAGTAACTCGCCAAAATTTCTCAGTGCACTCAAAATTCCCTCAATATGTAGTTGCATCATTTCTTTGTCATGGGTAAAATGCACCTTTGTTAAATGGAAACCTATACAGGTATAAGGTACCATGACAAGATAAAGTAATGACTGCCAAACAAAGAAAACTTTAAATGACATACACTGACATAGATTCTAGAATCAATGTGTGTACTTAGTAGTAAAGCAAACGATCAAGGCAATAAAGAGATGCACTAATATGTTATCATGTAACTTGGGTTGAAAGCAATAGTTGCATTTTCAGGACATGTTTCTGCAATATCTTTCATGACTCACCTGCAAGGAGCCAACCAGCATCACTGGCTTCAGAGAATCATACAATCCAAAGTAGAGCCCTCGATAAACAATGATACCGACACATGAAATGTTGAAGCCTCGATAGAGACCCGCAACACCATCAGATTGTATGGTTTTTCTGTAAACATCAACAAGGCCATTGAACTGCCTTTCACCTCCCTTCTTGGCAGCCTTAGCATCATTAGCTAACCGGGTCCTGGCATAATCCAGAGAGTATACAAAGAGCAGAGAAGATGCCCCAGCTGCACCTCCAGAAGCCAAATTACCAGCAAACCATTTCCAATATCCATCTTTATCCTTTTTGAAATTGAACATTCGTTTGAAGTAATCCTTAAAAGCAAAGTTCAGGGCCTGATGTGTAATATGCAAACCAACTGTCAATTATTGTGAAGCCAAAACGATGCACAAAGGAGTAGAAGGAAAAAGAAGACTGAACCTGGGTAGGAAAATAACGAATAACATTTGCGGTGTTTCCTCGCCACAATGCGAGGAAGCCTTCATCCTTAATTGTTCGTGAAAAACAGTCTCTAATTCCCTTATATGGTTCCGAAAGACGACCAGCTCTAATCATCTCATCTTGGTTCTGAATCAGGAGTTTGACACGCTCAATCGGAGCAGCTGCTGTTTTAGAGATGGCAGCAGAAACTCCTCCCATGAGAAAATCGATAAGAAATCCAGTAGAACCCTTCTCCTTGGGAGCACAAGCAAAGACTGGGGTGATGGGTGCGAGAGATGAAAGACCAATGGGCCCATGAAAGCTGTGATATGATTTCGAGGGTGCGCCCCTGAAGTCATAAGTCCCTAGAAAGTTGTGGATGCTGGTATTCCTCGCTTGCAAATAAGGACGCTGCCCACCGAATAAGATTGATTGCCCATATATCTTTTGCACGATGGATGGCGGGCGTAAATCATCTGCCATTCTGCCACAGTATTCAATGGTGACGATGTATCAGCAAGTGATGTAAGTGTGTCAATTATAAAAAACTAAAGTGGGTACCCAAAAGAAAATGCACATCTTAAATTGAACCAAAATTTTGACAAAAGGATATATAATATATAAACAAACAGTTTGTTTAATCCCTTTAATGTATCAAATGCTTAAAACTAAAATAGCAAAGAGTCTTTGGAAATTATTTGGATCTAGATATGCTGGATAAAAGAAATCACCTAAGGATTCAATCTATGGATCTGACAAATTCCTAATAGAAGTTCAGCCTCCACAGCAAACAAAAATATCAAAACTACTTGGGAATCACCTCAAATGGTCAATGTTATAACCAACAGAATTGTCAATCTCAATAAGATACTCATTCAAGTTTCTCTTCCACTCATCTTGCTAGAGCTGAGGCCGTGTCTTTATTTTCTTTCAAAACATATAAACTTTTGGACCACTAACACTTTCTAAATGCCATGTCAAGCACATCACTTCCCTAACATTTGCAATTACCCTTTCCCCATCCAAAAGCATAACCACAAGTGTCTCAGGTTCTGACAAAGGAAATGCATTAAATACTTTAATTACTTGCACCTGACCAACTTCTAATATTAAATTCTAGACCACTAGTACGCTCTCATACTTGAGGTCTAGCTGAACGAATTGAAGATGGATCAACAAACTAAATGTAACCTTAGGACAACATCAATCAGCACAAATAATAGAAACTAGCTGCCATACCAGCACCAGCACTTCCATATGCGCTTCCTGCCGTTGTGATCAACTTAACCTCTTTGTCACTTAACCTCTTTGTCTGAAACTTACTATTGCAGCTACGGTTAGGTCAGATTTAGATTTGCATCATGTTCAAACTCTAGACTTGAAGCCAATTTTCCCTGCCTCTCTTGAGTTGCCATATGATTCATATTTTCCTTCTTATTTTGAATTGTTCAGCGAACTACAAGTAATCAATTAATCCGAAGCATCGCGACACAACACAAAGCAATAAGATGCGTCAACTGTCAAGATCGGCCGGAATCAAGATAAAACAAGTGAAGGCAGGATCAAGAAAGCTTCGGGATCATCTGACAATACTACACCGACAAGCTATCAGATCTACACCAGAAAGAAGAACCTCAACGCAAGAAAGAGTCGGCTACGCGTTCCGAGAAGCAGCAAGCGAGAACCGGCGATCAGATCGAATCTTAGAATCGGACAGATTGCAGAGATGCGAGAAGAAACGAAGGTGGGGGCAGAGATGACGCAGTAACCTTGAAGGAAGAGGATACGAGAGGAGAGGAGAGGAGAGGCGGCGACGGCTCCTCTCCCCGTTGTTCCGAGCGAATCGGGGAAGACGAAACGACGAAGCGGCGGCGCGTTGACGTCCGGATCGGAACCCTAATTTTAGTAGTTTCAGCTCCCATGCAATGACAGTTATCTCCTCGATCTTTGACTCTAATTCCCTCGATGTCCTCTCCTCGATCCTAACTTATGTTTAATGACCAATTTACCCTTCCAGGGCCTAATTCCATGCTCGGTCCTTTCTTACACGTAGGATTAGTTGGTTTGGAAGATATCTACAGGGAAGAAAGCAAAAAAGAGAAGCGTGCGCGGCACGTGTCCGAATCTCCACGTGATCTACACTTTTGTAGCGCGTCCAAACAAAGTTGTTCACGCTGGAACATTAGATTTAGATTTAGATTTGGATTGGATCCTCGCTGCCACCATCTCCACAGGCCAAGCACTCATGAGCGCGCGTGCTTTAGCTGCTGTCGGTGTGAAAGAGAACGCAATCTCTCTCAACTCTTCGACTCCCCCCGCATCCAAACATCCCAAATCTACATATGATGATGTCTAATTTACATGATTTGAATCTTTGCTTCTCTCTCCCACAATAACAGAATTTTTGGTCCATTATTAATTGCCAGATCTCTGTCTCTTTCTCTCTCTCTCTCTCCCTTCCCTTCTTCCGAGCTCAAGATCCTCTTCCGCTCACATGATGAACAGTAGGTTGTAAGCCATTCGAGTAATAACACCACCTGAAGGTCACTTCCTCCGAGAAAATAATGCCATCAACATCTCCACCGGCAAGTAGTAATAAACCCAAATCAAAGTGAAGCTCATGGGAGCGAACCACTCCCCGTTCGTCACTCTCCTCGTCTTCCTTGCTTTTCTTACAGGTAATGAGCTGATCACTAGCTAATTAGAGAAGAATTCATTAACTCGGAGATCTGTGGTTTCTGATTCACATTGCGTGCTGCATAACGGGCTCTGCAGTTGCGGCGGCAGCTCGGGCGGAGCCGCCGTTCGTTGGCGTGAACATTGGCACGGACGTGTCTAACCTGCTGCCGCCGGCTGACCTCGCTGCTTTCATCAAGGCGCAGCAGATCAAGCACGTCCGCCTCTACGACGCAGACCCGGCCATTCTCTCCGCCCTCGCCGGCGCTGGCGTCTCTGTGGCCGTTGGTGTGCCCAACAACCAGCTCCTCGCCTTGGGCTCCTCCCCGGCCACCGCGGCCGCCTGGGTCGCCCGCCGTGTGCTGCCCTTCCATCCGGACACTCCCATCTCGGCCGTGGCCGTTGGCGACGAGGTCCCCGCCGCGCTGCCGTCAGCCCTCCCTCTCCTCCTCCAGGCCCTCCGGTTCATCTCTTCCGCCCTCTCCGCCGCCAACCTCTCCTCCATCCCGGTCTCCACCCCGCTTCCCTTCGCTGTCATCCTCGACCCCTTCCCGCCCTCCCAGGCCTACTTCAACCAGTCCCTGGCCAACGCCTTCCTCCTTCCCCTCCTCCGCTTCCTCGCCGACACCGCCGCCCCGCTCATGCTCAACTTGTACCCCTACTACGCCTTCATGCAGGGCCACGGCGCCGTCCCCCTAGACAACGCCCTCTTCAAGCCCCTCCCCCCCGCCCTCGAGGAGGTCGACCCCAACACCCTCCTCCACTACTCCAACGTGCTCGATGCCATGGTCGACGCCGCCTACGTAGCCATGCGCAACCTCAACGTCACCACGGTGCCCGTGCTCATTACCGAGACCGGGTGGCCCGCCAACGGCTCCCGCCGGGACGAGCCTTACGCCACCCGGGAGCTCGCCAGCACTTACAACTCTAACCTCATCCGCCACGTGCTCGACCGGGCCGGAACGCCGCTGCACCCCGAGGCCACCCCCAGCGTCTACATCTACGAGTTGTTCGACGAGGACCTGCGCCCGGGGCCGGCGTCGGAGGCCAGCTGGGGCCTCTTCCACGGGAACGGGACCCCAGCATACCTGCTGCGCGTTGCCGGTACCGGGGGGTTACTGGCCAACGACACCACGGACCGGACGTACTGCGTGGCGGCGGAGGTGACGGACCGGCGGACGCTGCAGGCGGCGCTGGACTGGGCGTGCGGCCCGGGGCTGGCCAACTGCTCGGAGATACAGCCGGGGCAGAGCTGCTACGCGCCCAACAACTTGAGGAGTCACGCCTCTTATGCCTTCGACAGCTACTACCAGAAGGAGGGCAAGGCCGCGGGCTCCTGCTACTTCCAGGGCGTCGCCATGGTTACCACCACTGATCCAAGTGAGTCAATTGAGCTCTTTTTGTCTTAATTTTTTTTGTTATTGCCTTGTTTGCAGTCTGTCATCTTAATTCATTGTTGCAGTCTCGGGTTGCTTTTAGTTTACCTGCAGCTCGAAGCTAATATTAGAAGGATGAATGCAAAAATGACCTCTAACTATTAGTTCATGGATGGATTATAATGTTGGGTGGAGGAGTGAAAGAGATTAGCAGTAGTAGAATTAGTTGGGTTTACTGTGAAGATGGAGACCGAGAGAGAGAGAGAGAGTTGGGTGGGTAGGAGGAATAGACTGATGTTTGGTGGTGGCAGCACAGTGGCAGAATCAGAAATGGGACACTGAGGTCAGAGGAAAACATCAGATCAGAGCAGAGCAGAACAGAGTGTGCTGTAAATTCTTTGTGTTACTGCTTACATTTGAAGACCATCTGAGGTCAGAAAGGTTAGAGTACATCAGAAGAATGAGTTGTTCATGTTGGGCTTAGTTTCAAGGTCTTCTCCATGCCACCACTTTAAGAATGATGGATTCCAGGGCTTGGCTGAGTTGCTCATACTTGAATTGTAGTGGATCTTTGTAGACTTTTACTCCATGGAAGTGGCTTGAAATCACATTAGCAGTGCTGGTGAATGAAGCACCAGAAGAATTCTTCTCGTGGAGGCCTTCGCATCCTTGAGAGATGCTGTCTGTTCTCTCGTCATCCATCGTGTGACACAATTAGGCCCTTCTGTCAAGTCTGATTTGCCATCACAATTGCTTCATTAGTGTGTATCTTCAAGCTTTCAGCTTTTTTGCTATTCCTAATGTCATCAATGTTTTAGTTTCTTATTCTCTCCTTCAGTATTACTATGCATTGCCTTGTTGATTACTGAAAACACCATTCTTGTTATCTTGCAGGTCATGGGGATTGCATCTTCCCTGGAAGGTGAGAACCTATTCAACCATGATCTTTTGTCAGTTTAACATGCAACTCTACGTTTCATCCCTTGGCATTTCTCGAGGACCAAAAACATTTTCCTTTCAGAATAGTACCACATTACCGAAGATAGATCGAAATCCATCAGTTTATATTTCCAGGAAATCTTTCGGCGTATGTTGTTTCAGAACCATTAGTTCCTACCAAAAACCTCATTGGAAACATCATAGATAATGCAAATGCTATCATACTTGAAATGTTAATGGTTATGGTATTTTCTTCTGAACCTTGTTGTTCTATGCAGCAAGCGGATGAATGTTACAGTAGCAGGAATGAGTGTCATCCAAACAAGCAAGGCTGGTGCACCCTTCACACTGAGACTGAGAACAGGAATAGCTCATGACCAAATGACCCCCATGATCTTAAACATCTTGGTAGCTTCCATCCTGTCATGGAGCATTTGGTCTTGATGTAATACTCAACAAAACTTCCAAGAGAGTCGAATTCTCGTTTGCGATTTCGTAAAAGCCATGAATCACATTTCCTTCATTCCTTCTGTAATATTTGTTCTTTTGTAACAAAATTTTGTTGTTGTTCTATTGTTTCTAATCCATTCTATTCTCTGGTGCTTCTGTGGAATCAAATCAAACAAAGTTATGTTTGAGATGCTATTTATCAGATTGCAAAGAACAACTCGAGCTGGTTTTCTATCTGCTTGGTCAGAGCACTTCAGATCAGTACTGTCAACATCGAGATGTGATCATTGAAGGAATGAATGACGCAGATGCAGAGAGTCTTTTTCGAGACTTATATACTGGATTGCCTCTCCTCTTCGAGATCGAAGAACTTGGAATCAATGGGACGGTGCATTGGATGCGACATTAAACCTTGTCGTGGATGAGAGTTTTACGAGTCTCTCAGTTGCCATGTCTTTTTCATGCACGAAGAACTGATAAGGTCTTTCCAATCCCCTTTTCTTAGACTCTGCACATGCCTTGCTTCCTTGCTTCCTCCTGATCCCAAGAGCCCCATCCTTCTTTCTGAGCCAAAAAGAGATCCAAAGTTGCATGTTTTGATCATCCATTCGCTCATAGATCGAACTAAAAGATATCTTAATGATTAAGGAATGGCAACCTTACTCTCCTCTGCTGCAGTGCAGACGTAAGAAATGAGCATGAAGGAAGAAAGGGAGAAGGGTGACATGGCAAGTGTCGGCAGGGCCTCGTCGTCTCCTCCGAAAGCTATAGTTTGGTTGGTGGCGGAATGCCTCGATCTCTTGTCCGTGTACGACCATCCAAGAAGACTGTTCCTGACGGAAGGCTTTGCAATGGAATCCTCGAGACGCGCCCGTGACGCTGGGCCATCTCTGAGCTCTCATCAATCATGGCTGCTTAGCTGTAACACCGCACTGGCGAGGGAGCAAACAGGTGCAGCGGACCTGCCACCAGTCCTTCGCCATGCTAAGAGCGGTCCCAAAAAACCCCTCGCTCTCTCCATGGTCAACCTGAGAGGAGGAGGCGATGGCCTCTCTCGTCTTCCTATTGCCCTTCGATGGAGGTCCACATAAGAACGAAGATGATGGTGCACAGCTCGAATCAAGGACACCTCTGTTCTTCACGTCTGCAAGTTCGTGGATCTCGTTTGCATGTCGAGGAGACTGATGTAGACATTGATGCTGCACATGTCCTGCTCCCATGTTGTGTTCTCTCTGGTCCCAGAAAGCAAGAAATAAATCACAACAATTTCTTGGAGTAATGTCTCTTGCAGCCATTCAATCAGCTCCGAATTGTTTTCTCAAGATGAAAGATGATGGCAAAGCAGTCCTCTTCCAACTAAAATTGAATCGGATCGAAATCGGGATCACTCGAACTTGGGGCTAAGACAATGTAATCTTATCTATACATGAGATGGTCAACCAACGACAGTTCCAAAAGTCTTCTCTTGTATGACCCAAGTAAATAGTCAAAGTAACCCTAAATAGATGTTGGAGTTTGATGCAACTATATACCCCACAAGACCATCTGCAGCCTCAAGAAACACCGGCAATGTGTAGCTCCATATGTTACTGTATCAGCTTGGTTGCTTGAAGCATTGGTAAACCAATTTAAGGAAGAATCTTTGCCCAATAACACAAACCAAGCAGAGATTTCTACGTGCCCAATTGAGCAGTAGATAAATAGTTTCTTCCTAGGCTTCTCTGCCTCCATTACTCCCCCCATCATCCCGTGACAGCTCACATTACACCGCTCTCTCTCTACAAACACTTTACAAAAGGAGACGTAAGCCTCTCCTCTCTCCTCCACAAGTGCACTTGAGTACCCTCGCCGACCCTCTTGTGCTGCTCTATATTCCACTTGCATATTGTGGCCATAGATCTCCTCCACACTCTCTCTTGCTGCCTTTCTCTTTTGCCTCCTCGCTTTTCTTCTTTCTGTACTCAGCTGCCACTTAAGCCAGTCTCGAAGGATCCCAACCTTGGGAGCCAGGCCATAAGGATGGGAAGAACCAGCCCCATTGTTACTTTCTTCTTCGTGCTGCTTGTTGCTTCTGCTGTCCTGGGAGATGACCCTTACAGGTTCTTCACCTGGAACATCACATATGGAGACATCTGGCCCATGGGTGTCAAGCAACAGGTGCGCCCTTCACTTCCTTGGCCGTGTTTTCCTTGCTTCTCACTCTGATCCTGATCCTGATCCTGGTTTACTCTTGGTGGCGGCAATGGTCGCGCAGGGAATCCTGATCAATGGGCAGTTCCCAGGGCCACAGATCGAAGCTGTCACCAACGACAACGTTATCATCAATGTCTTCAACAGCTTGCCGGAGCCGTTCCTCATCTCCTGGTCACACACTGTTTTTCCTTCTCCCCTTCTCATTCTTGCTTTCCTAGCACTTCAGCATCCCTCATTGATTTCTCTAGCTTCTCCTTTTTGTTCATGCCATGCTTCGTTTCCATGAATAGCTTCAGATCTCCAGATTTCAAGCAGCAGTAAATTAGAGTGCCACAGGGTAAAAGAGTCACACTGCCATGGATGGTAACCTCTGAGCTGTTTCACCGTGGCAACAAGGGTCACACACACACACAGAGGACAAGCCATTTCATGGCATCGGGTAATGGGATCGGGTCACGTTGCTTGCCCTGTAGGAAAAGGTAGTGGGCACAAGTTCGAGGACATCTTGTGTCGTTTTCTTGAGACTCCTTAGATCCGCAGGTGCTGACATCAATTAAATGCTCGTGATCTGTCAGTTCTTCCGGCGTTTGCTTCAGTGTCTCACATTGAACAGATCATACGGATTTTCCATGTCTCATGTCACACTGATACTTGTATGATACTGAATGAACGCATGGATGTCTCACAGGAATGGGATACAGCAGAGGAGGAACTCATGGCAAGATGGTGTGTATGGCACCAACTGCCCCATCCCACCAGGAAGGAACTTCACATATGTCATGCAGTTCAAGGACCAGATTGGGAGCTTCTTCTACTTCCCCTCGCTTGCTTTCCACAAGGCTGCGGGTGGATTTGGTGGCATCAGAGTCCTAAGTCGACCACTAATCCCTGTGCCATTCCCTCCTCCTGCTGGGGACTTTACTCTCTTAATCGGTGACTGGTACAAAGCTAATCACAGTGTAAGCACCCACTGTTATCTGCAGATCCCATTGTGATTCTTGAGTCTGCATTAATACATGACTGTGAGATCCCTTCGTTTCCTGTTTGCAGACCCTCAAGTATGTGCTTGACAGTGGTAGAGATCTAGCTTTCCCTGATGGGGTACTCATCAATGGTCGTGGATCCTATGGCAACACCTTCACCGTCGACCAAGGTATGATTTCCTGAACTCTTCTTGTTCTCCATGCACGAATTAATGCAAGCTTCCACGTTTCAGGTAGAACATACAGGTTTCGGATATGCAATGTTGGGTTGGCAACATCACTGAACATAAGAATCCAAGGCCACACGATGAAGCTGGTGGAGGTGGAAGGGTCTCACACCCTCCAAAACATCTATTCTTCGCTCGATGTTCATCTTGCGCAATGCTACTCCGTCCTTGTCACCGCCGATCAACCAGCACTGGACTACTTCATCGTCGTTTCAACCCGATTCACCAGCTCGGTGCTGACCACCACCGCCATCCTCCATTACAGCAATTCTGCTGGAAGGACCGTCGGTGCGCCGCCAGGTGGTCCAACCATTCAGATCGACTGGTCCCTCAACCAGGCGAGATCTATTCGGTATTGCTGTGATCATTCTAGCAAAGTTGATTCTTCCTTTTGGTTCGTTTGGCATCTCTGTGTCTTCTTATCCATGCAAAAACCAGGTGGAATCTGACAGCCAGCGGACCGAGACCAAATCCACAGGGTTCATATCACTACGGCCTCGTCAACACAACGCGAACCATCAGGCTTGCAAACTCTGCACCGGTCATCAATGGCAAGCAGAGATATGCGGTCAATAGTGTCTCCTTCATTCCAGCTGATACACCACTCAAAGTAGCTGATTTCTACAAGATCCCTGGAGTGGTTTTCCTTGGAAGCATTCCTGATAACCCCACCTTTGGAGGTGGCTATCTCCAGACCTCCGTCATGGCAGCTAACTTCCGTGATTACGTTGAAATTGTCTTTGAGAACTATGAGAACACAATGCAGTCATGGCACATTGATGGATACTCTTTCTGGACCGTCGGGTACACTCCACTTCCATCCAAAACTTCATCCTTATGATCTTTCTTTCATCTGATGCTATGATTGAAAGCAACAATTGCACACATTTGCAGAATGGATGGAGGACAATGGTCAGCAGCGAGCAGGAAGAACTACAATCTGAGAGATGCTGTTGCTCGTTGCACCGTGCAGGTACTTGTCCAGCCCTTTTCTACGCCAGCATAAAGTTTACAGCCATCAGCATAAGCTCCGTGAAATCACTTAGAATTCTTGATATGGATCCATTTCTTGTCTCTTTGCTACTTCCTCTGCATCTTCATGTAGGTGATTATTATATCTCAAGTCTAAAGATCATTCCTCAAACCAACTGCAACTTTAGTAGTAACCTGATCATCTTACCTTGGAAGCAAAACTGGAATGACTGAAATCTATCATCTTATCAAAGATTGTGTAACACGGCGATATGCTTCTGCTTGTTTTCAGGTCTTCCCCAAGTCTTGGTCGGCAATCTACATGCCTTTGGACAATGTGGGCATGTGGAACATCAGGTCGGAGCACTGGGCTCGCCAGTACTTGGGCCAGCAGTTCTATCTCCGTGTGTATTCTCCTGCTAATTCATGGAGGGATGAGAACCCAATTCCAAGGAATGCCCTCCTCTGCGGCCGCGCATCAGGTCGCCGAACAAGGCCACTGTGATCAAGAACAGTAGACTCAGTTTCTCAACGTCACGAGGGGGTGACCAAGTAATAGTAGGAATCAGAAATGAAAGGCATTTCAAGAATTAAATCTCTAGAGGCTCCTTATCTTTGTTACTTCCATATATAAACTGGTCAGTATCTCTTTTGTTATCATTATTATTATTATTTTCTTGTTGCTGATATTACAGCATTCTTGCTAGTTCATCCAACCTACTGTCTACCTCTGTCCTACTCCTATCTATGATTTAAGTTTAATGCCATTATCTTCAGCTACTTTAGTAACATGCAGTTAAGATTGACCTTGATGATGCTGATGAATGACCTATCCATCCTAGCGGAAACTAACAATGAATTGCATGAATGAAGATTACAAGAAAGAAAGCAAATCATGGAGTTCATTTCTTCATTGACTAGTATGTTTTGGCTGCATGAAAATTTTCACAGAAAGATATTTTCCTCAGTGAGGACTTTCTTTCTTGATATATGTTTTATATGTAAAAGATATGTAATACATAAGTATATATTAAGAATTCAGGAAAATAATTGCCTTTTTTTTTTTTTTCAAATTTCCTTCAGTAAAACAAAAAAATGCTTCTTCCAAAAATAACTTCTGATGGTCATTCTAACAAAAAAGAAAGTTCAGTTCTTTTAACAAAAAGTAAATTCCAATTGAAAAGTCTATGACAACTACATAAAAGGGATCAGAACTGAGAACTTAATATGAAGGATGCATTGCTCTCCTCTGAATTGTAGTTTCTCTAACCATAATTTTCAGAGATGTAAGCTATTGGTTGTCAACTCACACCGATGAGTTATATCCATGTAAAGATGATTCTTGTCACCCATTACAGCATGAAGGATGCAAAAAAGAAATCAGAAAGTTCAGTTCTGTGACAACTACATAGAAGAGATCAGAACTAAGAAATTAATAAGAAGGATGCATTGCTGTCCTCTGAATTGTAGTTTTTCTAACCATAATTTTCAGAGATGTAAACTATCCATGTAAGGATGATTCTTATCACCCACTACATCCAAGGTTTCTGTCTTGTCGTAAACAACCTTAATTAACACAAAAAGGTGTGAAATAATATTAATAAGACAGCATTCTCTGATACATCCTACAACATGGAATTGGAAATTCAAATTTCATTCGATAATATTCACTAACTTCCTCTTAAACAGTGAAAATAAACTGTCAAAACTGAGATAATAAGCTGATACCGACATCGGAAAAAAGAACTTACAATGCACGCCAGTATTAACTATTGTTGATCTGCCATTCAAGTTTTGGAGCACGCCAAAAGACAATATCAGCAAGCTCCGAAGCCCTGACATGTTGACAATAAAATTAAAAGAATATATAGATAAATAGAAGACATAACCAAAGGCATGGCTAACCAAAGAAAACAACAATATTATCATCACCTTCTTTTCCATAACTTAGTAATCTCTCCACAGCTCCCTGTTTTCAGGATGGATATATGCCTAAAGCAGAATCATACAACTTGCAAGCATACGTTCAATTTGTATGTATAATCTAGAAATCTGTGGACAGGTTTGAGTAAGCTACATACTAAGCTAAAATAACAAAAAGGGTCACATGACAAGAAAAACGACAAGATGCAGGACAAAAAGCGATATAATCAAAATACAACCAGGTTCAGAAGGATCACTTCCAAAGAGCAAATAATTGTGCAGGATATAAATTTTACCACACAAATCCCATACTTCATCAGAGCATTGCTACACTAGTGTATATCTCATGCCACATAAATCATTAAAAAAAAGAATATACATAAACTTGTAGAACTCAAGGTGAGGTAGCAGGCCAATAGCCATATCTGAAGTGCATGTAGGATATGCTTCCACATTTTTTTCTTTTTGCAATTATGTAGCTAAATACTTGAAACAACACAAACATAAGATCCCAATTATCTGGAATTGGCTGTTGTATCCTTTATCCATTGAACTCTATAAAGACAATATCAGTGGTTAAACTGAGATTCATAAATTTTTTTATTCTTTCTCAGGGTTTTTTTTTTTGGATCCTTTTATCTCTTCCTGATGCTAAGTAGCTTTGAACAAGTTCATATCAACTTAGATGATTTTTTTTATATTATCCTTAATCATAATTAACTCAATTATTTTTAATATATATTTTTATTTTATCTTCTCTATTAACTTCCCACATCCATCATCCATCTCAACATTCTCCATTTGACGAAATTGATGAAAAGATAGATGAAAAAATTAAACTTAACTGTTATCGGAGACATTCAAAGTAACATGCATAATTTCAAATCGGAAATTTCAAAAACATGAATCTGAATTCTTTTTCCTTGGAGCAAAAAGGTTTTTAACCAAAAAGTGAAGCTTTCTTAATAAAATTTTTGTAGATTTTCTCAAAGAAAAACAAAGTGAGCATATGGTCATAGAAAGCAATACAATCAATTATGAATCAGGAAAAGAAAGCAAAGTGAACATATTAAGAAACTCACAAAAAGATGCCATTTTCGCACCTGCTTCATCCGCCCTTGCCCTTTTTTTTTCTGCGATGATCAATGTACTCGAACCAGAGTTCCAGATCGGCCTTGTACCTCACGTGGCCATCCAATAACTATCCGAGATCCTCAAGACCCAGCGATATCGGAGATGTGCTTCGGCCACTTCTTCTTGTTATTCTTGCCGATCCCCTCGCCCTTCTCCTGGGCTTGTTCCTTCTTGATGACCTCGCCCAGGATGGGACGCTTCCGGAGGTTGCGAAGGCCGTAGGCCCGCCTCTCATACCGAAATATGTACGCGATAATGTCTTGCTTCAGCGGGGATAAGGCGCTTGAGGCGGTACTCCAAGTCACAACGGCGGCGGACGATCTCGGCGTTCTTGCTGCGGGAGAAGAGACCGCGCCTCTTGAGGTCGTCGAGCGCATCTGCCACCCACTCCAGCCGGTACCGGACGACGTCCACCATCTCCGCCGCAGTCCGATCCCGCTCGTAACGTCGAAAACTTCGGGCCTTATAAGTCGAGCAATACTTTCGACTACGCATTCTCAAATCTACCTCCTTCAATAGCGAAGTACTTATGCGGGACCCAATATTATTTCCAATCACACAGCGGTGGACAGGCTTTTGGTATCTTTGTCAGTAGGTAGATGAGAAATTGGTCCACAAGCCCGTTTGAGCTTTTTAGCCCAAAATCCAAATTCAAATCCCGAATCCTAAAGCTACAGCCCGAATCTTAAAGGCAGAAGCCCATCGAAACTTGATACTCATATATATATACACGTATCTAAAGACACCTCAAACTATAAAGAAGATTTCATTCATAAAAATTCAGATCAATGCACACACTAACTTCCAAGTCTGAACTCTCCGGCACTTCGATACACACTCGGAACTAACCTGAGGACACCAATGTCTTCAGCGGATTCCGGGCATGTTGCTCCATGGCCATGAGCTGATGTTGCAGTCTTCGTCTGCAGACGTGATGGAAAGGGAAGAAGCCAACTCATTGCTCTTCAGGACCAACGACATTGTGAGTGCTTGGACGTCGAGCAGCGTGGATGTGTCGCCTTTCATGGGGCTGCCACCACCCGGTGGCTCGCATTTGATCTCGGTTCCTGCATAGAACACAGTGGAAGATTTATGAGAAGGATGGAGTAGCAGTGTACGACCCATTAAAGAGAAGCAGGGAGATTGGGTTTGACCGAACTCACCCATGTCACGATCCAACTTGGTGGCAGAACCCAAAGAAAAGCCTTGAGAGGCCTCCTTGATCCCTTCGTCACCGTCGTCGCCGAAAATTTGCGCCCACCGGGCGACCTGCTCGTCCGCCGCCTGCAGCGCCAACAGCTCACCGATCCTCATATCCTCGGCAACGCCTGTGCCCTGCAGCAGTGACTCCAGTAGCCCGCTACTGCTCTGCCCGTTGTCCCCTCCGACCAGCCCCGAGTACGATTGGCATGAAGGGAGCTCCGTTTCCACTGCGAACGCTGGTGACAGCGGTGGCGGCGGACCAATCTGATGCTGCTGCTGAAACAGAGAATTCGGGGTGGGTGGTGGAGCGAGGGGCGAGACCAGGAACCCGAAACCGAGCTGACAGGCGAATGGATTCTGCGGGAGCGGTGGAAGGGATATTCGCGGCGGAGGGTGAAAGTCGACGGGATTTAGCAACGGGGGCGGCGTCAGCGGGCGAGGCGATATGGGAGCCTGATGCTGCTGCTGATGGTGGCGGTCGAACCTGACGGCCTCTTGCAGATCCGGCGGGTAGATGGGCAGACCGGCACGTTGCCGCCGCTTGAGGCGGGTGTTCCAGTAGTTCTTGATCTCGTTGTCCGTCCTCCCGGGCAGCTGTCAGGATCAAAGGGACGAAAAGGATCAAACTTTGCTCGATAAGAGAAACCCGCAAAACAAAGAAGGAGAGGAAGGAGGAGGAATACTTGGGCGGCGATGCGTGCCCATTTATTGCCGAGCTGGGCGTGGAGGCGGAGGATGAGGAGCTCCTCATCGGGGGCGAAAGATCCTTTCTTGAGGTTGGGGCGGAGGTGGTTGGCCCAGCGGAGACGGCAGCTCTTGCCGCATCGGGCCAGCCCGCTGTGTCGCCGCACCGCGTTCCAGTTCCCCTCCCCGTGCCGCCGCACGTGTTCCACCAGGACCGCGTCCTCCGCCGGCGTCCATGGCCCCTTCTTCAGTTCCTCGCCACCTCCACCCATTCCTCTTTCTCCGGATCCCCTCGCCTCCGCCTGCTCCACCATCGATGGCTCCTATGCTTCCTCGGCCTTCATGGCTTCTTCGTAGCTTTCTTTTTCTTTAGCTCCGGATCCTCTTTCTTTCTCTTTACCGCCTCGAAAAGATTACATTTTTCGACCTCTCTCTCTCTCTCTCTCTCTCTAAATATATCTACCTCACTGTCTCTCTCTCTATCTCTCTCTTGAGAGAGAGAGAGAGAGAGAGAGAGAGCAATAAAAAACGAAAATAAAGAAAGATAAACAAAAGGGATAATATATGGAAATACAGAGGGAAAAAAAAGCTCCTTTTTCTTTCCTACATTACGGATGCTCGGAGAAGAAACGATTTGATATCTCGAGCTCGAAGCGAAGACAGATGAAGGCGGTGGCGGTACGATAAAGAGGAGGAAGAGGAAGCTTAAATAGAGCAGCTGGTGGTGGGCCAGCGCAGGTGGGGCCCCCTCGTTCTCAGCCCCCTGCTTATACGGTGGCCAGCGACGAGGATGAGAGAGCGCGAGGTGGCTTCTATCATTCCTAATTTTAATTAAACGAGGGTGATTAATTGGGATTAATTTGGGTGGCGAGAGAGAGAGAGATAGTTATATTATTACTAATTTTAATTAAACCAATGTGATTAATTTAGGCGGGGAGGAGAGGTGGGCCATAGAGGTCGGTCCGCGCCCGCCTACTCCAGGGTGGCCCCCACCCGCCTCCACGCTGTCGACAGTCCCCGCTGCCTTCCTCCCTGCTTTGCCTCCGCCGCCATCGACGCTTCTCCTCCGCTCGCTCACCACCATCACCATCGGATACTACCGATGACATCGATTCTACTGCTGAACGACGTTTGGTCTGTAATCGATAAGGTTCATCAGATAATCCTTAAGCAGGTTTGTGATCACTGTTGCCAGAACCATCAGTGTGATGGTTCACTGTGTTTTTGCAGCTCATGTTGCTCTGTTTGGGATCAGAGTTCCACTTGGAAGCTACAGAATATGCAGATTGGGTCTCGAGCAGGCCTTGAAGTTCTTGTTCTTCGACTGAAGCTTGTGCATCTGTGCTTTGTGTCTTGGATTCTGGGTGATGATTCTTGTTCTGGGTCATTGGCTCCGACCGCAAGAACGATGCTCTAGGAGATGGTGCCTTCAGAGCAGCCAGTTTGGGAGCATTGGCACCATGGCTATGCAAGTGCTCAACAAAATAATGTTTTGCAACCCTGCAAAGGATCATTAGTAGGAACATTTCAAGATTAACACAGTTCATCAGTAATAAATCTCTGCATATCTGTCCAAAAATCTGTAATATTTCCATAGTAATCCTTGAAATTTCTATTGTGTCAACCACAATCATCATTTTGAAGGGATTGCAGAGTCCCACAGTGGATTGATCTGACTGCTGCTTTTTACTCCATCAACCTATCTTCTTTCTTCATAATTTTCTTTGATTTCTCTCTATTTTCTAACCAAATCTTCTGCCAGTAATCTTAGTTGGAAACCTGATTATGATGGTTGCTTAAGCACATTTGTGAATTTTTATGGATAGAACATAAGTAAATTGCTAGTTGATGCTTAATGTGTGAGTTCTGAAGAATAAAAAATTCTTCCACACTTTGTCTGAATGATGACAACTATTTGCAAGAGTTTTGTGTACATGAATGACTCATAAGAATTACCAGCTGATGATTAAACAAATTCAGCATCATTGTTCTTTCCATTCATTTAAATATCAACAGAAATTGTTTCTGAGCCTGTTTGCTTATGCACTCTGAAACTGAAATCTAAATCATAGACAGCTCCCTAAAGATTTAGAGTTTTCATTTCTCTTGTCAATTTGGTGTTTTACTTGCTTCCATGGTGTGGTTTGTACTGCCAGTGACATTCTTCTGAAGTATTTTGCATCATACTGCTAATAGCAGCCTTTCATCATCCTTGTAAGAGACCTGATGCTGGGCTGTGATACTGCATCTGACCTCAAAATCCAAGCTGAGACATTGAGCTGCCTCAAGCCACATGAGGCAAAGAACAGGTTACTGCCTGGAATTGAATCTTGTTGAAGTATAACACCCCAAATTACTTCGGATGTCGGAGACCGAGTAGATGAGTATACTACTATTAACTTAGACTTAAAGCATTTTAATTCAGTGATTCTAATCCATGAAGTTAATTATATATTTGCATTTCAACCTCTCTATTGTCATTTCATATCTGCAGTTACAAGAAATGTTATATATATTTTCATTTTATATATTCAAGTTAACCCCAACCTTGTCATATATTCTGACAGACTGCATGCTGCTCTCAGAGAGACATGTCTTGAGAGACACTGATAGTGAACCAAGATTGAAACTGAGCAGTAATTGATTGCAAATATATCTTTCAGCAGAACATTTTCTCCAAGAACACTAGAATTTGATACAGAACCAGCATGAATGTGAACTTGTAGTATCCAACTAGGTTCAGACTAGAGGCATATGATTGCCCCATCCATTCTTACACATTTGTCACTCTATTACCATGTCCCAGATTTACCATGGCAAAAGGCATTTATTCCTGCAGAAGCACCACTGATTTGACACCATCTTCTCTGCGCAGCATCACTTTGCCTCTGTCAACAAACTAAGTGTAAAAGGTCTTCCTCCATTTAGCTTACAGAGGCTTCCTTCCTTATCAGAAACACTTTAGGTTTTGATGATCTAATTCTTCAAACGCACCATTAATGAAATGGAAAGAACAGTACTCTTTCACAAGACAAGATTCCCTGGAGCAGCAAACTAGTGTGAGTTACAGGGTATGGGAATCTACTTTTGCTGACCAGCATGCATGAGAACCTAAAGATATGGCGCTTTATCAGATAAACCAGCATGCATGAGAACTTAAAGATGTGGTGCTTTATCAGACAAACATGCCGGAGAAGAAGCATGGCAATGCCAAACTGAAGCCTTTTCCTATTACCATCATCAGAGAAGTGAAAGGAAAAGGATTGAGATAGACTACAGTGGCCAAGAGAAGAGAGAAGAACATTAGGCAAATGGATCGGTACCTTGGAATGGAGTGCTTGCGGTGAAGAAGAGAGATATTGACGCGGCTCAATCCAATTACATGGCTGTTTCAACATCCAACCATGTCTTCAGATTGAGACACGCCAATACCTCTCATATCACAAGCACTCCTGGTGTGATCTCATCCTCTCAGATCGATGATGACCGGCAAAGAACCGACGACGGCGCCAATGCTCCGACAAAAGATTCAGATGCCACGGCACATAGGTGCATATGCCACATTATGGTTCTGAGTTGGATGGCAGAGCCAGGAAGCAACACTTGCACAAGAGGAGAGAGAGGTAGAAGAAGAAGAAGAAGAGGCATTGGAGTTGGGAAGGAGAGGTTAACATATACTGGCATAAACCTTGCTGTTGTTCTCTTCACCTCATTCTTTACATGGCTACAAAATGCTGCATAAAGGGAAACAGGAAAGGAGAAAGCGAGTGAGGGAGGAAAAAGGGAATTTGATGGGGCCATAGTAACATGTATGATTACAAGTTAAATCAGGTTTTGTTAGTGGTCGACACTCTTGAGAGTGATCTCTTACATGTTGATGCCTTTTGAAGGAGAAGCTTGATTTGCTTCAAAACAACTGTAGATGCATCAGCACCAATCAGCAGTGCTTGTGAAAGAGACATCTACAATTCATGTTGCTGCAGAGTTTTGTGCAAGTCATTGGAAAGATGTTCTCAAACTTGAAATCCGAAGTCCAAAACATGTCAAGAATGCAGTTTTAAGTTTCATTGATTCGGGGAAGGTAACTGAATAATCATGTCATTCTCTTACAGTAGATGTCATCCAAAACATTCCTTGCTGCTTTTATGAGATTATATATTACTAATGACTTGGTTTTTGCTAGATTATAAGTTCTTCTTCTGAGATACAGATCTGATGCATTCTTTTATTATGTTCATGAACACAAATTTCTTCCCATGCTTGAATTGAATGGCATAAAAGCAAACAAGAGGAAGAAGGAGAAAGCAAGAGCTAATAATGGAGTGAAACATCCACTATTACAGCAATGGAAGGCAATGCAACATAGAACTAAAGGACATTGACCTGCAGGTAATACATGGATCCATTCATCACGCTTCTGCTGGGAATCTGGATGGAGTCAGAGGTCTCAGTAGATGCGGTGGTTGGGTTGCTTTAACTTCTCAGGGACCATCATTTCTCCATCTCTCTCTCTCTCTCTCTCTCTCTCTCTCTCACACACACACACACACACAGAACCACCTCACATAATACCCATACAGCATTCAGTTCTCACCGGCAGCTGCTGGTACTGCATCACTGTCATGTCCCAAAGCCACCAATCTGTTGAGGGTGTGGGCTCACTTGTGTCAGCTATACAGATCCTTTCTTCTTTCTCTTAAAGCATGAACTTGCAGCCATTGGAGGACTTAAAGAGTTTCCTCCAACAACTTGGTTTGGAAAGTTGTTATGCTACTGCCTGTCAGCATTACAGTACACTTGCCAGTGTTTATTTCTGAAGACTGAGAGGTAAAACACTCAGCTATTGCTTATCATTCTTGCTGCATCATTTACCATGGTTCATATCTTGTTCAGCATGGATATCCTCATCCATGAGCAAGGCTGTAATGGACTTCTGGACCTCTGGACCTTTTAGACAGGTGCAGTCAGATTTACTATGCTGAATCAATGAATCATTCTTGCAGGCTCTCAGCCGCAACACAAGCTCTCAATTTGATGATACTGGTGAACTTAAACAGCCTGTGGATCAAGTTCTAGCTTTGCCAAAATGCAAGAAGATTTGGCTACTGACTTGTGATTGCGAAGGCCCTAACAGTGCAAGCATCTCCAGTTTGGTGCAAGCCATCCAAGAGCTAACAGGCAAGTGAACTGAGCTCTTCAAGAGTGACAGGGCTAGTGTTGGGGTGTAGCATGGGGTGCTGGACCACTTGTACTTTTGGACACTGATGGGGTGGATCCATGCATGAATGATATGGATGGATAAAGAGCATTTATTGGCATCAATCAAGGTGTTTTCTCCTGCAGGAATGCCTCTGCTCTCTCTCTCTGCTTTGCAGCTAGAGATTGAGCCCATGCACATTGGTGGTGGTGGTGGTGGAGTTCTTGGTAGATTGTGATGAGACTTGGTGTCTGCCTCTCTTGTTTCTGTGTCCCCCTTTGTTGCCAAGAGTATGCCTCATTTCTCCTTTGCTGCTGCTGGTGGAGTTCTTGGTAGGTTGGGATGAGACTTGGTGTCTGCCTCTCTTGTTTCTGTGTCCTCCTTTGTTGCCAAGAGTGTGCCTCATTTGGTGCTAATGAGACTGAGTGAACATGTTGATTACAGTGTGTTCCTATAGAAATCTATTGAGTTCTTCATTTGTTCTTTTTTTCTTTTTTGTCTAGCAGAATTTTACACAATTATGTCATGTATAAAGAAGTCATGTGTACTTGTTGGTGTCACATATAATTCAAAGGACTGTATCCTCGCTGCAGCTGTCTCCATCCTTCATCAAAAGGACTAAGAGATGCCTTTCCATTTCTCTCCATGTATAGGCTCTGTGGACCAACAGCCTTGGCTGCTGGTTTTCTTCTCTCACTAAGTTAAAGAGTGAAAGGACTTCCATCTCTGCTCTGTGTTCCTCTTCCTGTGTTGTTGGTTGATGTCAAGAGCCTTAGTTAGGACAACTGCTTCTTGAGCCCAAAGAATCCATGTAACAACACAATGTAACATTGGGTACGTCAAAACAATAAAACATATCATCGATAGAAGAAAATTAATATGCTGTTCATAAGGATGACAGTATTTATCATCGGATCAAAGTCACTTGTATCATTGTACCATACAATTCAAAAGATAATCTTCATGATTCAAAGCTTCTCGAACCAACTGATCAATATCATCAATATATGAAAGGATTAAATCTATCAAGATGTTTCATCTAACTTTGATGGAAAGCACATTAGATTGAATCAGACTGAGCCGATTTCATTAAGGGTATATATATCAATCAATCCAACATATGGGAGTTGGCAGCCTGTAAGTCCTAAGGCCAAGTGTTGCAGCCTTCTGAGCTATTGCTCAGTGGGCTCTTCTAATGCATACTAGTGCTTCAAGTTTAGCATCACCAAACAAATAACAAGAATCAACAATTAATTACCACATCGGCAAGTTATAAAAAATACATTAAATTGAAATGAACTCCACATGCGTTAATTATGTTAAAGATTGATAACCCAAGTTTACTAGGCAACAACTAAAGAGCAGGAATCCAAGAAACAACTGAGAGAATATACAGTTCCTTTCTTGATTTTTTTTTAATCTACAGGCATATCGTCGTAAGAGGAACCAAATGTGTTCTCGCCATTGTACATCATGTAAAGATAACCATCTTCATCCCTGTGTGCCTCGTAGATGGTAGACATCATAGAAGCTGCAGTGGCAAATTATAAATGAGAACGATGAAGAAAAAAGGTCAACTAGCTGGATATGAAATAAATCATGGGACCTGTGGGTGGTAACGTGTTATTGACAAACATGAAGATGGCCTTCTCTGCACTGAGATTAATCCTCTTTCGAATAACATAAACAAATTGTCCAACCGTTAAATCTGCAGGAACCAGGTACCTTCAAAGCCACAAGAAACACTCAAAAATACGTAAAAACTATTGTGTACAACTAGTAAAAAAATGAAGTTAAAAAAGAACCGCAAAACTGATTATCTACTTCAACTAAAAACTAAAGAAGAATCTTTAGAAACAATCTTCAAGGAAACCTTGGTTAATCATAAAATTTGCTTCGATGGAACATTATTTGACCTTTCAATTATCTTTTCATGTCAGCTTTTGAAGACAAACAAGTATTCACCTTCTCTGTCAGTGCATAAGAGTAAATAAAACTTCCAATCACATGTGACTCATGTCCTTTGTACTACAAGTTTTAGATATAGGACTTATAAAGAACAAATTTCCAAATTTTATGCTGCAATTCTCGATAAATTTCCTACTGATCTAGACGAGGACTATATATACAAATTCTATTAAGTCACCATTTGTTCTTTAAAAGTTTTTGACTAATAACATAGTAAAATAATAGACTCTTAAAAACTGAAATGAAAGTTACTAACTTCTTCTTGTCAATGTCTGGTATGGCACTCCTTTCAGCCTTCTCAACAATCACCTACATTAAATGGCAGTATGTATCAGATAGGATGTATGTATCATTGCAAACTTGAAACAAAAGTCCAGACTCTTACAGGAATCCTGTCAGGATATTTCCCTCTGATACGACTGGCTTCTGCTTGCCTCTTTTCTGAAATTAGAATGAAAAGTTTACTTAAAGACAATCTTGAAAGAACTGAGTAGCCAATCATAAAGAAACAGACAACAGGTCCTCCAAGAGTCATGGTCATCTAAGGTCACATATACAACCTATAATATTTTGGTTAATGGGAAACTTTGGTCATATCCGCATATCAAATTCAAGTTCATCCTTCCCTTGGTCATAGATGAAAGAAAATTCATTACCAATATCCACATAGCACAATTTAAAATATCACATAATCATGAAATCGACATTGTTATGTGTGAGCTTGTGCACAAGTGTACATGTAAAATCTTAGTTAGCCCCAACTTTACCACTAAGCTGAAGTTAACCCATAACTTCATGATTTGAGTCACACATACCAAGACAGAAAAGTCAATCAAAATTAACTCAGAATGTCTCAAACTGCAGTGTCCATACAGCATTGATTTCATCAATGCAAATTCATTTCTTGGTTGGAGACTGTCCTCTTGTTTAGGAAAAAGTGTAAGACTACCATCTCCATGTTTCAATTAATTTTGCAATTCCAAATAGACTTTACATAATAAAGACCCTAACTACAGAAATTCTCAATCATATACCAATTTGACTTCATGGAAGGTTTCACATGTTCTCTTAATGATCGGCAGAAGAATCTTCACATCAATATATCATACAATAAGGTAATGACAAGTCTTGTTTCTACAGTAGTTTCATTCATATTTTTAGTTAGCATATTTGTTTTGTGATTGTCAAGCTAATGTCTACATCACAAAAGTCAACTGCAAAAAAGTACCACAAACAATGGGTTATTCAGCGACTTATTTCTTACAGTTGTGCAATCATTCATTGTTTTATATCCTCGATTTTAAAAACCAGAATAAAATGGTAGAGAGAGAAATTGATTTCTTTTTTATTCTCATTAGAGATAATGGGAACTATGTCAATTTGTGAAAAGAGCAATAGTTCAATACATTTCATTAGCATACTTCAAAGAAAATAAAGAACAAAGGTATTGTGCAAAAAAAAAAAGGTCGCTGATCTAGAAAAATAAGAGCTTTTCATTCTACAAATTTTAACATTTTCAAAAGAATCAAGAAAGAGCAGGAAATCAACAATACTTGATAAAAGAAAATACCGAAACAGCCTACTGAATCAATAGATAAGGTTAGGAAAAAGCATATTGAATCTAGAACTAGTAAAATTGAAATCCTCTGAAGAAAGCCAGATTGAAAGAAAAACAAAAGGCAATGTCATTCTCAACAAAGTAGAGTAATACGGTTCCAGAACTACTGGGTGGCTGTATACCAATACAATATTCCCAACAAAAACAAGACTTCTTCATGCTTTGTTCCTCGATACGAAAGAATCAACCAAGCAACCACAAACAGCGGCCATAATCTCGTTAGAACCACCAAAGCTTACACGCAAAAGAAAGCCTAGAAGCACAATAACAAACCCAAAACCGAAACCGATTCCAGAAACCAAATGGCAAAGAAAAAGAGGGATTGCAGGCACAAACCGAGGGAGTGCTCGAGTCTGAAGGGGCTCTTCGCCATCGAGATGTTGGATCTCCTCCTGCAATTCCCAAAACACATGGCCATCGTCACAACAACCCAAGAATCCCCAAAACCAAACGAAAGAAGGCAACAGTCGATCGATCCAAAGAGAAAAGGGAAAGGAACTACCGACGCAAGCGAGAGGATCGAGGTCGGATTCTAATCGATCGATCAGGAAAGAGAATTCTTCGTCACGGAATCGGGCAAGAAGGTGAATCGGAAAGCGACGGGGTGTTCCGGTGGCCTTCGGCAATTGGGAGCCGAGAGAGCAATTTCTAGGGCTTTTATAGCGTCAAACGAATTAGGCGGATTAGATTGGGTTGGATTGAGTAGTACGGAAGAGAGTAGCCGTAAGGAAATGATAGACCTCTTTAAGCCAATAAAGGGATATGATTAGATTACAATCTCCCACCTAACCTTCTTTATCCAAAATAACGTAATTATCTTTTAGAAATCCTATTTGTTAAACATCAAACTCTACATGAATGAAAATAATTCAAAAGACAATAAAATCCTTATCCAACAACAATAATAATTACAATAAAATGTATAATTAAGACACTTATCCAATCTTTGAGTAGAATTATAAGGTCTGATTAAACTCTTATAAAAGAATTTTCAATTTATGAACTAAAAAAATTAGAAATTTAAATAGGTAATATATATATATATATATATATATATATATATATATATATATATATATATTGTATCGTACCGATATTTCGAGGTTGGCTCGGTACGATATGGTACGATATCGATATACCAAACGGTACACTGTGACGTATCGAACGGTACATCAGGGTTTACCGAACAATTTTCTTTTACTGTAGCACTATAACACTATTACAATGTAATACTATAGCACTGTAGTTCTAGCTTATTTTGGGGGTGATTTTTTTTTTTCATTTGTATATATTAACTATAACAAATATAGTTTTTCAAGTTTGATTGGATTCTCAATGATATTATTGGCACATTGAAATCTACTTACTAACTTAATTTAATGATGATATAGTAAGAAGAGGAGTGTGATTTTATTATAACTAGGCAAATAATTATACTTAAAGTGAGGTGACCTGTAAGATGCTTGAATTAGGTATTCAGATTTAGTTGATCCCAAAGGAGAATTTATGCAAGAGAAAATATTTCTAGATAGATGGTTATATGGCAATAAATAATTGAAAGCTTTCATCCTTTGTTATTGATTATGAGGCTACTGTGATTGAAAGCAAATATTCAAGTCATTCATGGAATGTCTTGAGTTCTTGTGATTAACATTAGAGTTTGATATTACTTTTCAAAGGTTAAAATGATGTTATTTGAAGTGTAAGGTTTGAGACAATGGCAGAAACCCCACTGGATGATATGGCTCCTGGTTCACCTGGTAGGCCTCATGGGGGCTCCAAGAGTTCTTTGGGCTCTCCTCGGCCTCCGCCGTGATGCTGTGCTTGGAGACCAGGTACTGGTGCTCATCGCCGTGCTGCTGGAGAATCCTGAGTTGACCCTTCTGTGTGGTGAGCATTTTCCTTCCCACTCTCAACAAATTTATGTGTCTCTTCTTTGTCATTCCTGACTCTTCTAGGTTTAGTGCATACGATCTATCTCATATGCACATAAATGATAGTTACATGGGTAATCATTGAAATGTCGGCGCAAATATTTGATGCCAATGGAGAGGCCTTCATCTCGAAGAAGCTTTGGGAGGGAGTAATTTGCTCTAGTGTGCATTTTGGTGTGTACATAGCAAAAAATCCTTTTTGAGATTTGTTTCTGAACCCATCGCATGAGATCTTCTCTAGATGAATTTATCATGTTAACTTTGATGGAAATACTTGATATTTGGAGCAAATGATACCATCATTCCATTGTTTCTGTTCTGTTCTGTTCTCCATGGCTAATTAATTGTTCTAGATTGTTTTTCTATAAAATAATTGGATCTTTAATAAATTTTCTTGGTTTTGGAATTGTCCATTGAAGTTGGTCTCACTTGCTTTCTGCTTGTTGGTGCAGCATGACAATTTCTGGTTGGGTATTTATGATCTTGGTTGGGTTTACTGCTGCTGCAAGGTTAGTCGTCAGTCTAGCCCTGCAATAAAAAACAATTGATAATTTCTTTATCCTTTTATTTGTTGCATATTTAGTTCTTGAAGATAATTATGCATTTGAGATCTTCAATGGCTAATATTACAGTGATTGTAATGGACAGTAGAACTACATTTACAAAATAAACTATGTAATTAAATGACGATACCTCTCAATCGAAATGCCTCTCGATTAGAGTATCATTCCTCTTAATTCTATCAAATCTGATTCAATCCACAAACTGTAGTTTTATTGAGTTTAAAAAAATAAAAATATGAGTGATAAAAAAATATAAGTGAGAAAGAGCTTGAGAGAGTGAAATAAGTTGAAAGAGGGAGAAGAAAATGGTTTAAAAACCCATTCTTATGGGTCAAATGATCAAATTGGTCATTTGAAATAGGACAATATGTGCTTTTGATTGGTAATGATCAGATTTCGACAGTTACCTACCGATCTCCCATTGGACTATTATGAATCACTTGTATCGGACGGTACAAGTCGATACGATGAATCCTAACTACCATTTCAATTGTCTTAGTAGGTTTAAACTCACATCTAGAAAAAATAAGTTTTAGATCTCATGCCAGTTATCATTTTTATGATTTATCAAGGATCTTTTCATTTCCTATAGTTTAGCAAAGAAGTGATAACAGAAAAACCTAAATAATTTTCTTTAAAAAAGTTCAATCAAAAGTCAAAAATTGAAATTAGTCAACAATGATATGATAGAACTCGTCTACCAACTCTCTCTAAGTTGCAAGGCATACTTTCTGCTGCTAACATCTAATGCCGAAACTGTGCCTTGAACCTATCCTGCTACCATTGTCTTAGGATCTAAAATTATAGTACAAGCAGTTCCTAAAAACAGACAGACATATGTTTCAACTGATTTCTATTGGTGAGAAGTCTACTCACTGTGATCTACATAATTGAATTTGAAGGTGTTGCTGTTGGCTGTGGATGGCAAGCTTTTGTGGCATATGTTAATGTTGCCTGTTACTACATAGTTGGAGTTATCTCCTTGGCTTCAAATTTGGCTTGGGAGCAAAGGTAAAACCTTACATATAAGCCTGTATTTGTCTTGCTTCATTGTAACTAGTCAACAACAGTTAATTGGAGTAGTAAATTCTGAATAACTTCATACCTGCAGGGAAATATGGGAGGGTATGATTGGAGGAACTACAATACCGACTCTTATTCTGCTTTGGGTCGCTTTCCAAACTGATTGGAACAAAGAGGTATTCTGAAGTTCATTGCAGCTAATCTTGTTTCCAGCCAATCATTATCATGATCACTTCATACTTATTGGTAGGTGACATGATAAACAACATGCTCAAGATAATCACATAATCTGTGAGTTGAGTAATCAGATTGTGTTATAAAGTCTTCCGGTCTTAGTCATTAAAGTTATCGATGCTGTTTACCTTCAACATGAGAATTGACCTAGAAACTAATATTGGAGACCAATCTGATGTTCAAATTTCTAGCTGAGCTAGAAACTAATAATAATAAGACATGCTTTTCCTGGCTGACACAATATGAGTCCTGATCTTGTATGATATGGATGGAGGAAAAGAAGGTAATCAGTGTCTCCACTACATCTGGTTCCATTAACTTGTTATGCATAACTCAGTTAGAGGTAGCACTAATGGTATTCAAATCACCTTCAATTTTTTCTAAAGGTCAGTCAACTTTCTTCTTCCTAGCACTGTGCTTTCCCAAGCAAACTTAGATTCCCAAAACCCAGGTCATATTTCTTTTCATTTTCTGGAGTTCTAATCATGCTTATATCTAGTAGTGATACTTTAGGATTGGAATATCTTTTGTTAGGTTAATTGCAATTCCATTTCTTTTGGCATCTACTTTATATTTCAAAGTAATTTTATCAAGAGAAAGGAATAAATGCAAAGTCACATCTGAAATGTACTATGCTAAAATGATAGAAAGATTTATGAGAGGGCTAAATGTATGATGAACTTTAAGGTTAATTCTGCTCTTCTTTATAATTCAGGTGGAAGAAGCAAAGAGGAGATTAAGCAAGCGGGAGGAGGAGAAGGAGCCCCTTCTATCCTAGCAAACCATTGCTTGGGTACCTTCTCATCCAAGATCTAGGAGATCAATGAGATCCAGATTGAACAGCATTTGTTTCTAATGTGTTGATGCACACAAAAAAGAAAGAGAGAGATGCATCATTTATTTGTAGTTATCATCCCTCTGTTTGTCAAATTTTACTACAGCCAGTGGATATTTTGATTATATATATTTCAATAAATCTTTCAGATAAGCTTCTTCCTCAAATAAACCCAACAAAAATGTAATAATTCCCTGTGTGTTCTTATATATATATACAAAAGGGGTTTACTGTATCTGAAATTGAAAATATTAAAAAAAATTAGGGGCATTCCGAGAATCGAACTCGGGACCTCTCGCACCCAAAGCGAGAATCATACCACTAGACCAAATGCCCTGTTTGGTGATGGTGGGGTAAGTTATATTTATTTATAGTCTCTACCATCATGCCTGTTTAGAGCCAAAAAGTACCCATGCTAAGAAACACGGCGAACGTGGCACCCCCTGTCTCGGCGGTTAGCCATGCTAGTTTGAGTGGTTTACACATACATGTGCCCTTTTCCCCTTCTTTCCTCGGAGGTCTTCTGTTGCTCAGACCAGAGAGAGAAGAATGGGATTCATCTCGGGGCTCGTCAACGTCGTGGTGGTGCTCTTCTCCTGTTTGGTGGCGGTGGCGGTGCCGCTGATCGTCGCCCAGATCTGCCTTCCCGGGTGGCTCTACCCGGCGCCGCTGGTGGAGCTGAAGCAGTGGTATGGCGAGGTTTTCGGCGACTATCTGGTGACCGAGAAGCCTCACTTCTTCACCGGCCTCGTGTGGGTCGACATCGCCTTCGTCTGGCCCCTTTCCTTAGCCAATGTCTACGGCATCCTCGCCCGTCGCCCCTGGGTCTCCACCACCTCCCTCATGGCCGGCGTCTCCACTGCCACCTCTATGGTATCTCCCCCTCCATCTAAGCATCGCAATCTCTTTCGGATTTCTTTTTCGTTTGTTGTTGCTTGAAAAGGTTTCAATTTTATTTTGAGGATCCATCAGTTCTTTTTTCTTCTCATTCTTAGCTTGTGGTTTGCAGTTAGATCTTAGTTTCGGTCCATGGTAGAGCAATCCCAATGGTGTTGCCAATATAAGGATGTCGATCTTCCATCTTCTTTTTCAAGAAAGAATAAAAGGTTTTGTTTTTGAATCGAGCTTGATTAAATGACTAGGGAGCCAACCAAAGCAATCTGAGTTTGATACTGACTTAAATCGAAGAGGTTGTCCGAGTTGGTGGCTTGATAGTTGGATTTTTATTGTTGAAGTTGATACACCAATCACGCAACTCTTGCTAGCCAAATGAAGCTTGATCTAGTGAGTGGATAAAATGGAACTTTTTCAAGCAATGGGAAGAATTAATCACTGGAAAACAGCATCATAACGAGCTTTTGTCATAAATGCTTCTCATGAATGGTTCATATATGACCTTGTTTTTGCCCAATATAATCTTGCATTAATGATGATTCAGAAAACTCAATTGTTGGAAATGACAGCTGAAGTTGTTATTGTTAGTTAAATATAAAGTGATATATGATGTGATAAGTCTAATGCTTTTGTTACATGTATGACTTGTACCTTTTTATGTTATATTTTAGGATAGTCCTATTATTTAATTTATTTTTTCAACAATGCAAGGATCTTTTTAATTTCCTTCACCAATAGAAGCTATCTTTTCTGGTTTTCGTTTGTTTGCAATTTCCTTTTAAACTCTCTTTTCTGATTGATGGGAGTTTTTTTTTCGTATTCTAAAGGTATGAGATCCCATGCTAAAGCAGTCCTTTTTTTGTTTTCTTTAATATATTGTGTCCGTGATGCGGAACCTTTTAATAGGGGTGATGTAGAACCATATTTCTTTTATTCCTTGAGCAGAATTTGAGTAAACGTTTGGAGGTTTCTGTTGTTAATAGCAGAATAATAGTAAATATATTTCATGCTTGCTTCATTGAGTTAATACTGCAACAATTCATTATTTTCCATATCTATTATATATTTTTTTAATTAGCAATTTTTTCCTTTCCATCAAAATTAAGATTAGATTTCTAGGTCATTCACAGCTTTGAATTCATTCAATCAAGCTTCTAATTAGTATCAGCCATTGTACTTGCTGCAACCAGGAAGGTATCTGCCAAATGTTCCAGATTGATCTTAACTTTGTTAACCAACATGATAGTATTTTCTATGTTGAAATTAGAAAAACTTATAATTTCTTATAGTTTCAAATATAAGGCTTTTATTGTTGTTGTTAGATGTTTAGCAACAAATAATCCTAAGTTTTCTGTAGCCATTAATTCCCATGATTTCTAAGTCTAGTTGATATGTACTCCGGGGTGATATAGTATTCATTGAACAAATATTCCTTGCTGGTATTTAGATATCTTTGCTGAGTTGCTTAAGCACACCAAAAGATAATAGTGTCTTTCCACGACAAGAGCATGCTGAACTGGCTTGATCAACCATCCTATCAGCTGAATGAAGTCTGCTTTAGTTACTAGCCCTCAATATGAGCACATATTTGTCATTAACAAAATTCAAATACACTTTGAGCTTTTTTATATTGATTGTAGCTAAAATGAGGAAGGTTATGCTTTTACAAAATAGAAGCAAATGTGTCAAAGAAGAAATTTAATGGATTGGCGGTCAAAGATATGGATGAAGCAAATTGTTACAAGAGGTAATGACATACCTCTCCAAGCATTTCACTAAATTGCAGTATGTTGGCATCGAAATTTAGCAGATTGACTATATCTTTGAGGGCTGGTGCTGGCTGTAGTTTCAGGGTCCACTAGGATTCTAGCAAGCAATTGAGTTGTAAGTGTTGGCTTCTTTTCTTGTCGTCATATTAACTTGTCTATAATTCTCCGGTGAACCTTCTTCATGTCCCATAAAAAGGGAACCTGTGCTAATTTGTATCCTGCTCTTTGGTGAATCTAGATAAGTACAAGAAGTTGGCATATCATTTCTTTTGATACTTGTTTACAGGGATTAAGAAAAGCTTTTATCATCTTTGGTCACAGCCATTGACCAACATACATGAACTAGTCGCATCAGCTGTAATGACGTCAGGTTATAGTAGGCTACCGTTGATGTTTGTATCTGATAACAGAGACAACTTTATATATCCTGTAATTTGGTTTAAACCTGTTCCTGTCATTGTACCCTGCTCATCGATAATGCTGAAATCAAACATATTTCAGGCTGCTATAATGGCGGAGCTTCTGGGTTCAGGCAAAGCATCGGAGCAGCTGCTTCAAATTTATTTTCCTTTTGGGGTTTTTGCCCTTTTAGCAATTTTGCGCGGACTCTTCTATCGACCTCGACGTGCCACTTCTACATCTCATGCCTCATCATCCAGGAAGAAGAGGGCTTAGGCGACCCGCTGCTGCTGTTTGTTAGTGAGGTACTGCTGAGGATTCTGTCAGATGTCTTCATGTCTGATCAATCCTTCACTTAACATCACAATAATTTTTTCTCTTAGGAACAATGGGGAACCTCTAGGTAGTTTGGGCTATGAAATTTTCGACTATTTTGGTGATAGCTTTTATGAACGAACATTTGGTGATGGAGTTATAATCCTTTGTTGCTGGACATGTATCGGTTTAGCATCTAATTACTCTGCTCTATCGAAATTGTTTCATTAAATTGCGTCATAGCTATAATAAGGTGCAAAGAGATGATGCTGGTTTCTTCTTCTACATTCTTGCAGGCTTGATAAAGTGTTGTTCTAGTAATATTGTTGATTATTAATTTACCCTTTGAAAAGGGACACTGCAGGTTGACTATGAATCATAAAAAAGCACAATGCATAATAAACGAGACAATGTGTGTCTATTCAGAACATAAACATGAAGTATAGAATATTCCATGTGCCAACAAAACATATTATTATGTTTAATGCATTCATCTTGAACACATGTATATTATATCATGACACCCAATACACCATAACCAAACAAAGCAACTCCTCACATGTAATGCCTCCATTAAGGTAAGGTATCATAGGTACCAAGACATTTTCCCATATACAACGCATCCATTCATGACATAATAAGGACATAAGTATTTAAGCTCCACTCCAATGTGTTATAATTGGTAGAAGCATTTCCTCATATGCATGACATAAACATCCAGGCACCCAATATGTCATAATCAATCAAAGTATCTTCTCGTTTATAATGTGTCATAAGACTCATAATCGAGTAAAGTATCAAGACGTCTAATATAGTTCAAAATTATCTCTAATGCATCACTTAAAATATAAATATCAAAATATTACATTTAATATACTATAATCATCCAAGGATATCCATTCTTTATAGAAGTAATATATATTTATGCTAAACTCTTATCATAAAATACATTAAAGAGCGTAAGAAGGAATAAAAAATAATATGTCAATATAATATCTAAAAGTAAATATTCTTCCTTTAATATACTTAAATACTAAAACGATAGTGGTCAACGGCCGAGCACACTGCGCCACGAGAACGCCAACTCGTGGGGCCCGTCGGCCGCATTGCGTGCCGTGCAAGGCCGAATAATATAAAGAAGGAAATCTATCTATATATATATATATATAGATGCCGACATGATAAGACGATCACATCCGTTGGAATCAGAATCCACGGCCAGAAGCCACCATCGAAGGAAAAGCTTCAATGCGGACATCGTCCCCGCACCGCCACGTGACATCCTGCCCGTCCGTTGCACTTCGTGATTCGTGATGATGTCCGATCACTGCTTGAGCACCGAGATCCTTATGCGGGCGTCTCGCATAACAGCTTGCCGTAGCCTTCACGCGGTGCCGAGTTACCGAATCGATCGAAATCTGATTCGATGCCTCTACACACCTCTCGATCTCGATTTCCTTTGCTTCCCTATAAATAGCGAAGACGGTGGAGGAAGGTGTTGTCATCGCGTGTGATCTCCAGCGAGGGTTGATTCATCTGGTCCTCAGCGAGGTAAGCGAAGATTTCTCCTTTCTTTGTACAGAAAAATTGATGCGATGAATATGTGGTTTTATATGCTTCTTTTGGCTAAAGATAAATCTTTTTCTTGGCCTTTTGCTTCTTCTTTTTCTTAAATTTTGTCTTCTGGCATCTGTTGTGTTGAATCTGCCTCCTCTCATGGGGTTCTTTCTTGTCCGCCGGGAAATCGTAGAAGCTTGACTTGAGGACGAAGATACGATCTTTGTTCTGTATGCTCTTTTCCTCTTTCTGACATCTACCCTTGCAGAAGGAAATTTAAAGAAAAAAGGGATTTTTTTTTTTCCTGCTCTTTGCAGCATGTTGAGTCTGAAATAGGTTGCGAACGTGCTATGAGTTAGCAATTTAGGAATCGTTGGTTGTGGATCTGCAGTGTGTCGCATCAACTTGAGCAATTTAGGGATTTTTTTCTTAGGTAACAACTATTGGTGTATATAAGATGCTTCCTTCGTGATGATGTAGGATGTGTATAGAACAATTGAGCAATCAAGATGATGTTGCTTAATGTTTGTATGTCCAATATGTCAACTAAATAGGATGGATCTGACTTGATTGTCTTAGAACAAGGGGGGTGTATATAAGTTGTGTCCTTCATGATGATGTAGGATGTGTACAGAACAATTGAGCAATCAAGATGATGTTACTTGATGTTCAATATGTCAACTAAATATGATGGATCTGACTTGGTTGTCTTAGAATAAGAGGGGGTGTATGCTGTTGCCTTCTGTTCTGCAAATCACTATCTGTTCATGTGTTTTTAACTCAAAAAGGTGAGACTAACCCTTTGTATACAGAGTTCAACCTTCACCATTGTGTGGTTGATTTGGTTGTTTTAGTTCTTGAATCTTTTCTTGAATTGGTATTTCTGTTACTGAGCCTCAAAAAAGGTTTGATGATGGTTCTTTCACCATTTCAGAAGAAACTGCACAAAGCCTAATAAAGCAATTGCATATATTTAACTCCTTTAGCATGTAACACTGGTTCACAGAAACTGTGGACTTCAATTGTTCGAGGTTGGTCCCCCCTGCTGCCTTCAAATATGCCTCATGACATAGTAAACTCATATTTGTATGTCACAGTCTGCCCCTGTTTATGATAACAATGCCTGGATGCTTTAATTTTGTTGCTAGTCGAATGCTACATGTAACTGTTCTGATTTAATTTGTTCCTGCCACTGTTGTTAATATGATTTGGTCATCCCTTCCAAGCATTGTGAATTGTGATCAATGTTTTTTTGTTAAACCATCTTGGGTACTACTACTTGTGTGCTGTACAAATGTCATGGAATTCTTCTCTTAACGTCGACTTGTATTGCATGGTTCTGGAATTTGACTCCAGCTCGAGAAGCCAGCAAATCGTTTTCGGCAATCCCCTTCGATAGTCCCAGTGTTCATGTCTGATCTCAACGTCCAGATCCCAACCGCTTTTGGTGTGTCAAAAAAATCTCATTCTATGCAATTTTCTACGTTATTAGGTGTTTTGCGATGGCCTAACTTTAGACAAATAACCATATTGTCTCTTCTACCGTAGATCCCTTTGCTGATGCTAATGCTGAGGACTCTGGTGCTGGCACAAAGGATTATGTGCACATCCGCATACAACAGCGGAACGGCAGGAAGAGTCTGACTACTGTGCAAGGATTAAAGAAAGAATTCAGCTACAATAAGATCTTGAAGGATCTGAAAAAGGAATTCTGCTGTAATGGTACTGTGGTCCAAGACCCAGAGTTGGGGCAGGTATTGGTTTACCATCTATTTTAGATATGTTGAAAGAGGAGGGAAAAACCGATCTTTTAACTCGATATAGTGCTTGCTAGTGGTCGTATTGACTACTAATGAAATGATTCCTTTTTCAAGGTCATTCAACTTCAAGGTGATCAGAGGAAGAATGTTTCCAGCTTCCTAGTTCAGGTACTGCAGTATGTCTTGGCACTTCCTAATTTACTTTTGTGGTGATTAGGAGAGAGATCTGGTGGTGAAAGGTGATAAAACTTTCTTGATTTGTATGGTGCAGGCTGGAATTGTGAAGAAGGAGCATATTAAGATTCATGGTTTTTGAGTAGTGTGTAGCACATTGGGCTCTCTCAGCCTTCCATCAAGGATATGTTACCATTGCCCAACTAGCTTTCTTCTTGTTGCATGTTTCTTGTGGTCCATCCAGTGACACTCTTAAGTAGAACCCATCTTTGATGGCTTATCTCTATGAACTTACTTGTATTAAGAACATACGCTGTTTGAATGAGATTGCTGGAAGAATGAATGTTACGTTCTTAGTACCTTCATGTATCTTGTCTCGGTCTACGATTCTGTCTAAATGATGTTTGGATGCCAAAGCTACTGCTCAAGCCAAAGGAAATGTTAGGCCATGTTTGGATTAATCTGTCACAGTGGAGAATACCATCTGCTGGAGGAATGTTTTGTGGTGCTCAAAGATATTTTGATTTGTCTTTGAGAATCGATGATATTTTCTCCTCTTCAAAAAGTACTCTTTTTTAGCTTCCAAGAGATGATGTATAATGAAAGAATTGAACTCATGATTCAAAATTCACAATGCTGAAGCTTTTCTACGCAGTATCAACTGCTACAAAGAAAACAAGGCTAATCTAATTTCCTGATGCAAATGGCGAGGACCCAAATCTGAGTGTGTTGTATCATTCCATTGATGCCATGGCGCACCCTAATTCAAGCTTCCAAGAACTCAGCTTTCTAGTGATTACAGCAAGTCGATTACAACTGGGTTTTCAATATGTAGCCTCCAGCACCATATGAGCCCTGTGGCAACAACACAAGAAAAATGAGAACTACACATCCATAGTGTTGGGTACTGTCAGTAATAATGACTTTTACTGCTAGAATAAACTAAACCATAAACACTAGCTTCATTGCATTGCAGCTACAAATCAAAATTTCAAGGGTCAGTTCAGCTTAGCTGGTAATTGTAGCTACAATCAAAATTTTTTGAGTCAGCTAAGCTTGGTTGCTAAAGAAAACATGATCATTTCTGAACAAACTACTATCCAGTGAGTGCTTGAGGAGCCCTTGTCGATGATTCATCGATCTCAGGGTTGATCAATATACACACAAGCATAAAGGTTGTTCCTGTGACTCAAACCGTAATATCAGTTCCAATCATAGGTTTTCCTCTATGCTTTAGGATCATCACATCTAGTAAATCCTTTGTACTGTCGTCGACTTTTGAGCAGCCAAGCAAGGAAGTATCCCCATCAATTGCCAACTAGGAAAATAATAGATACTTAGCAAAAGTGAAACATTACCTGTTTTAGCTAAAGTCAGCTGTCATCATCTGAGCTGGAACTGTCAACTCGCCGATCCCTTATCGCTGGAAAGAGCAGCTGCTGTGGATCTGGTACTGTTGATGATGACGATATTTCTCTGTTTTTCCGTGTTTGCGTCACTTTTCTTGGTGCCTCTCTCACTTCTTTGCAGGCCTTATCTAACATCACAAGGAAGTCCCGCACAATCACGAACAATCTCAACCCCTCATCCTTCCCTGCATTTCCATGGAAAAAGTTGGTGGTTTTCTTTACCAATGACCTTATTCTCTTTTCTTCCTCCAATAGGAAAGTTATTTGAGTTTCAGCTTGTTCCACGAAATGTTTAAGCGAGTGACGAAACCCACTTTCCTCGTGACTTTTCATGCTTGTATTTAAGAATTCCTTTGTTTTCACCAACCTCTGTCCAAGATTTGCCACCAAAGTTGTCAACGCATCGGCATCCAGACATGCTGCTTTCTTGACGTTTAGAAGTTCGTCTCCAAGACCTGAAACAACTTTGAGACCAAGCTTACGGTAGTAGTCTTCGGATTCATGGAGTGAATCATCAGTAAGATCATCAGAATTCACACTAGAGATGCTCCCACTTTGTTCTCTGGCCATACGTACAGCTCGCACACCTTCGGATCGAATTATCTCTTGGACAACAAAATGCAACAATGTTGTCTTCCCATCTGTTCCTTTGACATCAGCCAACTTCAAGAGCGTATCAAGCTTGAATGCTTGTGCCCCCCCACGGAAGGTACCATCATTCATGCGATTGCCAGTTTTAAGAACTGCTTCTAATAGCTTCAGGAATAGCCGGCTATTTTTTAGCTCTCCACAGGCCACCTGATAAGAATAATGTCGAAAAAGAATATGTAAATCACAAATATCCATGTCTATAACTAGTTTTGTAAAAGCTGTACTTCCTATGGTATAAGAAATAAAGGATATCCATTATGAAGATAGCAATCATCATTAAATACAGTGCCTTGAGAAAAATATTTTCAAGTTTGTGACGACCATGAACCTTGCTGATGAAAAGATAACATAGAGCATTGTCCTAGTAAAATGGTAAAATTCAATCTCCCGTCAAATTATCATGGTTGGAATCTTTCTTTGCTGACAAGGACAACCATGAAAAACTGACAGGGATCTTAGAATGGTTTGCTGTGAAACATGGGCATGGCATAAAAGGACAAGATCACATTGACATGTCAATATGGCAAATTTTGGAAAAATATGAAAATGCATGTTGTTGGCATGGCAAGTACCAGCTACAATGTTACCTCATTGCTATAAATATATAAGAGAATACAAGAACGAAAAATGGTACATGTTAGACAACATATGATTACCACGATATATAACTCAAGACAAAACAACTTTCCCATCAGAATTACTACAGACAAATTATAAAAACATTAAGGATGCCATTCACATCCATAGTAAATGAAAGAACTTAAATACATATGTTTTGTCAGTATCCAGCATATGCTTGGAGGACTTCTCAAAATTGGTCTACTTGTGCCTGACATGTATTCTATATGTTAATAAGTTTATAGATGAGTAGATGATGTAGTTATGTGGTTCAAAACATGAAATGTTGGTCCATGAATTATCCATTGAGTTTTAAGTGGTATTTTCCTTCTATAATACCAGATAAGGGTCATCTGCATGCCCTAACATATATTGAAGTATCCTACAAGTTTTGGGAATCATCAAAATATTCATGACAAGGTACAAGAATAAATACATCTACTTCTACATTTCAGTTGAAGTGAATATGTTTTAATGCAGCCTTCAACTAGTTTAATGACTAAAGATAACAAAAGAAGCCAAGATTAAAAAAATGAATGCTGGATCAGATCTTACCTCTAGTGTTGAGAATGACTCCTTGGCACTTGTTGCTTCTTCTGGCAGAGAAGCCATGAAAAGAAGCACATCTAGGCGTTGAAAAGCAAAAGGAATATCCAATAATGCCTTCAAGAACTGTTCTGCTGAGCCAAGTTCAGAAATATCACCAGTATACAACCGAAGCCTCATCTCTTCATCAGATGTAGGAGCCATCTTAAGCAACGTTTGGAGTAACTCCACTGGAAGCTCATTTCCTTGTTCAGAAAATTAATATAAACTATCATAATGCACAAATTAAAAAATAGCACTGAATTTAAAGGATTCGTACCGAGTCTTGTTTAGTTTAGAAAATAATACAAAAAGTATCAGACATAATAAGTTGGCATGACATGAAAGAAACAAAGTTTGCACACTGTCATATGAATAATAATCTCCATGCAAGTGAGCTATCTCACCAGAAAGGTAAAAGAGAAGATACAACAAAATCCAAGATTTGGAAAATCATTATAACAAGAGACATGTATGCATTATGTACAAGAGTATCTTAAAACACCCTTTTTTAACATTTTCTTTTTCATGGACTTTATCCAATATTTCCTAGCGAGTAATACTGTTCCACAAGGTGCAATACAACTTAACAGAATCAGAAAAGAAAGGGTGATTCGATATAGAAAGATGTCACCAAAGCATGGTCTGGGAACGGTTGGCATAAGCAGCCTTCTCCCCAAAAGCAGGGTGGTTTATCTGCAGCTTGAACCCTGATGACCGAGTAACAAAAGCATATACTTCTGTCAAATGGTTCATTGAGATAATATTGTGATTCAGGGTGCTTAATTGTCTCATAGAAATCCAATTACAACCACTAACAACAAATAGGTTAGGAATCAATCACAAAAGGAAATGAAATTAAGTTTGAGACATCATGAAAAATTCGCTGACATGATTCTTTTTCTGATACCAATACTAATAGAATTTGTTTCATAAAGCAAGTCCCTGAATATACAAGGGAAAAACTAACCTTCCATAAGAGCATCACAAACTTCTTCTATTTTCACATTCAATGCCTTCAATGAAATTGCCAAATTCTGGGACTTCTTGGCATCAAGAATATGAACATGTTGAGCAGGACTCTTTGATGAAGACTCCTTTCCATCATTTTTGGGTTTATTAGTAGAAGTGTAACCAAATAAACTTTCAATCATCTCCTCATCAAATCTAAAAACAAAAGTTATTATTTTCAGTATAAGACTATGAAAATGATCCAAAAGATCAGATACAAAGGAGCTTACTGGAATGAGCCTGACTTAATCTGATTCCACACCATAGAGCGGTCAGGGTCTGCAAGGACTTTATCCCAAAAAAATGGTTTGAGCTTGGTTTTTGGTGCATCATCACTAGATACAGGGTGTTTTGGCCCAAGGAAAGAAGGCTGAGGTACACTTGATGAACTTGGGTTTGATTGTGGTGGACGAGGAGGGAAAGTAGCTTTCAGTGCAGGTGGAGGGGGTGCACCAGGTATTTTTTTGGGTCTGGGAGGGGGTGGAGCAGGAGCAGAAGGAGCAGCCTTTGGAACCGCAGGAGTCATTACAGGTGGTCGTGGAGGTGGCGGAGGTTGTGGAGGTAGTGAAGGTGGTGGAGGTGGCGGAGGTCGTGGAGGTAGTGAAGGCTGTGGAGGAGGTGGTGGAGAAGTAGGTTCCTCTGCTGATCCAATGGTAGGTGCACTAGAAAGCTCTATTGATGAATTTGAAAGTCCTGAGTGTAATTTGGATGGTGGAATTTCAGCTGAGCCAACATTCATAGATGAAGTATTACCAGCATGAATTGGTTGAGCTTTAAGAGAAAAAGCCCCCAACTGTTTCTTCTCACTTAAATTTGTCATGCCAAAAGGGTTTTGTGAAGACCCTGGAAACACATTACAAAGTCAGCATCTAGAATTTAAGCTCATACTATAGGGAACAAACAAATTAAATTTTCATACCAGAGAAGTCACTCGAACTCAAATTTAGAAGTGGCCTATCATCCCTTATGCTGTTACCTGAATAAACTTTGTCTCTACAGCATTTATTATAGAGAATAAAGAGAATTGCTGCAATAAAACATGTGCCTACTGTGCTTAAAACAACTGCAACAATAATTGTTTTGTTCCTGTCCTCTTTATTCTTTGGTGGTGAAGTTGGAGTTGTGTCTGGGCTCATATAGTCATATAGTGGTGGAAAGAATCTGCCGGGAGGAGCATGAATTGGAGGAGGATCTGGGATAGAGGAAGGTGCCGGACCATATGCTGGAGAGCCAGACGAAAGATTTGGAGATGGAGATGAAGCGTGGGCAGAGGAAATAACTGGTGCTGGTGCAGGTGCATGGGCTGGTTGATCAGCCAGATACCTCCTTGAATGAGGATACCATCCAAGTAACTGCTCAAGATAATGGTACCAATTTCTCAGATTATTCACCTCTCCTGGATCATGAGCTGGGTGGTTCTGTTTACTCAAACATTCAAGAAACAAGTGCTCAAGCTGTGGAGACAGGGAAGCAGCAACTTTGTCTCCATTGTCTTCCGTATGTGATCCTTTTTTTACATTGATTTGTCTGGAATCCTTGACCATGCTGTCCAACACGGATAAGTCTAAATTTTTCTTAATTTCTATTATATCTTTCAGATGTAGATCACAATCAAGCAACATCTTTTGCACCTGTAATTGCTGCATCTATCAACATCAATGTTTACTATGGAGCTATACCAAGTATGATCTGAGTACTAATGTATTGATGAATCATAGAACAGGGAAGAATTATAGGACAAGTATGACACAGACAGATTATGCAATTTTAGTATGTATAATTGCCTCCGTTAGGTTCAAGCACAAACTGACTTTTCATTTGAATTTTGATGTTCTAAAAAGAAAGTGTTGCCACATAGAGAAAGAATATGTAGGGGGAACAATATCGAAACCTTTCTGTATTATACCACCAAAGCTCATAATTTGTACATACACCACACACCCCTTAACAGTATTTGTGTTTATATTCATGTAAACTATGCCCACATGATGACCTTTTGTTGTGCATCTACATGCCTCATAAGGACATACATGTCAAAACTATAGAGATTTTGTTAAGATTCAAGATAACTCCAGGTGTGAAAAATAGACTAATGCCATAGCCAACATCACCCATTAATCTTAATAGTGAATCATGATTGACGACATTAAAAAGGATTGCCATGAAAAAGCTTAGTTAATGATAATAGACACAGCCTTGAGAAAGAAAAGACAAGAAATTAGGGAATCCAACATAACTGCTAATTGTTAGTGCCAGGTGAAATGTGGCCAAAGTGCAAAAGAAGATCTAGCATGAAGATTCAGCATGGTTTTCATGTATACCCATAATTGGAAAAACAATGCTTGGTTTAAGTAATAAAATTGAGAACAGGATAATCACAAATAGAGATAAAGAAAGCTCCTACCAACAAGGCATAATTATCTGTTTGTTCATATTCCTGCTCTCTTCTTTTTGTTCAGTGCTGATGTAAAGTTTTTTCAAATTTCCAGAAAGCTTGATAAAATGACGCTTATAACAACCAAGTTAGTTGTAACACAGAGGAAAGCACAAAGATCCATGACTGCACTTCACTATTTCGAGCAACATGATTGCAGTAACTTAAATGAATTGGTAGGCATTGCAGTAACTTAGACGAATTGGTAGGCACCGTATACTAACACTTAAAAAACTAAAACAAATCTGCATCATAAATTTAGAATTTGAAAAACTGTTTGGTACGAATCCAATCTATGTCACAGCAACCTGTGAAGACAAGCAGTCAGGGAATCAACTAGGATAATCTTTACAACCTAGGATGGCAGAACAGAAAGGAAGGAGAAAAAATGGTGTGGGACAGAGGTAGAAATCAGGAGGGTCAATGAAAATTCAAAACAATGTATAGTCCCCTCTTCGATCCAGACAAACATGGAGAAACCGCATACTTAAAAGAGGAATGACAAAAATTTCCACCCTAAGTCACCTTTATCGTAACAATATAGACAGCTTATGTTTGAAAAAAGAAGCTTCTTGAATCCTCCACCAAGCAAAAATGTGGCAAATGTCAAGGCAGATATCGAAAATCTAAACTCATGTATTAACATATCAAGTCTACTAACCATATGAACATTTGATCTAGTTAACAGGCCAGCTGCAGGAAAATAGTTCATATCATCTGGCTAATTCATATTCTATTTGCATAATTTCCTTCAAACTAATTACCATTTTGTTCAACAGAATCATGATGCATTGAATTTGAAAGAATGAAACAAGAAATTAACTTGATGGAAACTGTACACCCCTCCAGATGAATTCTAGAAGATGAAAAAGTATTCACAAACAAATAAACCTACAACACCATCAATGGAAGTTTTTCAAGTCTAGTTACCAAAAAATAGGCTATTTTTATTAGGTTATAAATTTTAATTTCATTAACAATCTTAAAGAAAGAAAGGTGGAAGCTATATCATAGCATCCTTCTCACCTGATTGGGAAACCGAGAATCAGTCAAACTGACGAACTGGTGCTGTCTCCCCATTGATCCTTTTGGCACAAGAACCAGAAACAAGACCATATATGCAAGGATAAAAAAAATCCTGATTAAAGCCATAACCTCTCTGATTGATCTTAGAAAGTGAGACTAATCTTCGCATTCGATAAATTTGTATCTTCCAGTGTCCTCCCAGAACATCACAGTAATTAACTGAAAAGGTGGCTCCTTTTCTTTGAAATAAGAAAACAGCGCTCCTAACCAATCTCCAGAACCAAGAGCCGGAATGAAGTTGCTAGAGATTGCCAGAAAGAGAAAGCTTAGCTTTGGCGACACGATCAGCACAAGAAAAAAAAGGGGGAAAGAACCCTTCAATTTTCCGCGGCCTTTGATCCTTGAGCGGATGAACTCCAGCAAGCTAAAACAGCAAGCTAAAACCGGAAAGTAGCCGCCTTAAATAATATACAAACAAGATCCGCACCGACGGACTACACACGACTCAATGCCTCAGTAAGAACCCCGAAGTCGATCAAAGATCGCTCCTTTCCCTCGCACGAAATCAGAAAAAACCACGTCAAACAGCAGGCACGAATCCCACTAGTAACGTCCGAAGGCGGCTCCTTTTCCACCTGAGAAACCAAGAAACAGATCAAATCACACCCGAGATCACCACTGTCGAGTCGACAAACAGGAGGAAAGCCTCGAAGCCTCAATAAGAATCCAGAGGACGCACAAAGTACGCGCCAAGAGATGGACCGAATCACGCCAGAGAGCAACGTTCTGGTGTAACCAAAGAGAAGAGCCCCAAATTGGCAAGCAGATTCACAGATCGCCCAAGGTTTCTTCCCCTTTTGACCGGACCAACTTCAAGTGCCCTCCAAGAAAGAAACTCGTATCTAAATGGCACTTAAACGAAGGAGAAAGGAAGCTCCTCCCTTCGGATCGGAGCAGCCGAAAGGATGCTCCCGAATAACAATTTCTTCATTTCTTCCACCAAAATGTCGCACTTCGACTTGGGAGCAGAACGGCGGACGCGCTGAAGACGCGTGAGAGAGAGAGAGAGAGAAGGGAGCTTTGCCTTTTTTGGCTTTTCGTCGCACGGAAGCTTCCGAGAGACTCTGACGTAACATTGTTAATATATGACGACTTAACTCAGATTGAATAGATTGAAATTGAGATGAATAGGAAATATTAGTGGGTAATGAGATAATGGATTTAATAGAGTCTTCTTCGATCGAAGTCCATCAATAGATTGATGATGACATTTGATACTAATTCCAATCATCAGATGATCAAATCCTTAATTATGTGAAAGATTATTACTATATATATATATATATTTATTTATTTATGAGCCTTTTAATTAAAATACATATGTATGTATGTATGTAGAATGTCGTCTATGCAAGACTCATATGACCAGTGTTTATAATAAATAAAGATTATTATTAAACGAAATCATAAACTAAAATTGTATTAAATAATATGGTGGCATTAAATGTATTAATCTATGCTAATCAAACAAATCATTAGTTAATCAGTTATTTATATAGTAATTATGAAACCTCAAACAATGATGGAAGGTTTAGCTGTTCCATCTGTGCCCTGTATTATACATCATAGAAGAATCTTGAGGGTATAAAAAACCTGTTATTTTCTTGTTTTGAAACAATAACTAGTAATACTAAGAAATATTTTTCTGTTCAACAGGAAAAATAATTGAAAAGACAGCTGAAGTAGCATAAAAAAAATAATCACCTAAAGCCTCACACTACTCAAATATTTGAGAAAAAGATTACCAAATCCTGGTGAAAACATAGACTACACTCATCATTGAAAAGTCATAAATCATGGAATTCCACACATCTGTTGATCATAAAGTTACTGCTTTTAATGTTGCAAATAGAACACAGTGGGATGAAGAAATGAATTAAGTACCTTGCAACTGAAGCTATACAAATTGAAGAAGAAGAAGAAGAAGAAGAAGAAGAAGCCTTCAAGGGAGAAAGGAACCCACATGTACCCTAGGCCTACTACTCTGTCAAAGGTTTGATCGATCAATACACAACCTTTAACATCGTCCGCTAGCATTCTTAAAATGCGTAAACCGACTTAGCTAATCCAATTCATGTTCTCCAATGGCATGCATTAATTGAATGACCTCTCATTAATGGAAAACAGGATTGCTGACCATAAAATGACAAAGCAAACCAATATCCAGTGCAACATGATCGAACATAATTGCCTTAGCAGAAAATGAAACCGTACAGAACTCCAGATCATCTTTGGATGTCCAACAAACCTCATCATTGTTGGGGTTATGCAGATGGGATCGTATGGAATCAAGTAATCCTGCATGGAATTCAAAGAAACGTCTTAATGGAAGCACACAAGCTTTTTATCGCAAGACATGCATCAAGCTACACAGGTCCTGCTTGGAATCCAAAGAAATATCTCACTAAAAACACAAGCTTTTTTATCGCAAGACGTGTAAAGATGTTCAGATAGGCAAACACAAGAATATGACTGTTGCACAGTAAAACAGGAACAATTTAAAGGTAAACATCAACAGCTTGAGTGGGTTGATACAAACGACTGCATGATAGTCTTATTAACAGAAAAAATGGAGTCCGATATGATCAAACAGTAAGGATCTATGGAACAAAATAAGTACTTGTTTAAGAATGAACTGTTATGACCAAGCATCCTGCTTATATAAATAGTCTAGCTATTGAAGATCAATAAACTAGAGGCAGACACTGCAGTTAAATGTTAAAATAAGCTAACCGTATATAAAATAGACATATTTTAATAAAACCATGCGCTTGTATATCTGTACCATGAGCTGCACCACCGGAAAATGGACTAATCTTGTTCTACCGCACACTTTCAGCAACCACAGTGTCAACTGGATTTTGTAGTCGATCACATGATGCAGAAATCACAGCAGGCATCTCAAGCGAGCTTGTATGTAAAACTTGCTCTAACTGATTACTCAGCGCCTCTGAATGACTCTCAAGAAATGTGTATGAATCGATAGTTTTTGCTGCATGTGCTGCAGCTATACTGAAAATGCGGCATAGATAACTATAACGATCTGCTAGTGATAATTGAGGATCACCATCAAATGGGAAAGCAAAATCTTCATTTAGATTTCTGGTCTTAGCATCCTTCCTCCACCTCTTCAATATGTACTGTGGTGGAAGTTCTTTAATGTTTTGAGTATCTAGCACTTTTAACACATGACAACATTGTATCCCAAGAAACTCAAACTTTTTGCAACTGCAAGACATAGAACTATCTAAAGAATCACATTTCACAACATGATCTTTAGGTTTCTCCTCAACCATGACCTTGTATTCAGATAATGTCCCAAATTCATTGCAACTGAGCAAAATACAATCCATGTACAATTCAAATTCCCTCTCAAACATTCTATATGCAGCTGGAGTGTAAGCATTTGCAGCTTGCCTCAGCATTCGCATAGAAGGTGGCTTTTGAGTACTCTGATTAGCATCAAAATCATCTTGTAGTTCAGCATGCCGTCTCTCGGATAATATTCTCTCGTAATGTTCAAAAAAGCTCGGAAGTTCTTTTTCATTGCCTAAATATTTCTTTAGCTCAGTGCTTATGCTCTCCTTCTGTTGGACACTTTTCATATCTGCATAAAATGTTTCACGTCCATATACCATTGCCCATTTCTCTCTTTCCTCAAATAGCTTAGCCACCCATTTATTGTCTTTGAGATCATACTTCTCACACATTGTTTCCCATTCTTTTAAGAACTCTTCCTCATCTTCACAATCAAATAGGCATCTGCTGAAATCACATGCCAAAGTTCTTGATCCATGGAATATTTGACTAAGTTGCACAATAGCATCTGTGTAGATATGCCAAACGCAGAAGCGATGGTTTGTACCTGGAAAAACTGCAGTTATTGCCTCACTAATCACTGGAGAACGATCTGTCAAAATTGTCTTGGGCTGTTTTCCGCTCATTGCTGTTTTGAAACTCTCAAACAACCACTTTAAAGATTCTGTGCTTTCATCATAAAGCAAAGCAGCACCAAATATAACGGTCTGTTTATGGTGATTAACACCAGTAAATAATGCAAATGGCCTACCATAACCAAGCACCTTGTAGGTTGTGTCAAAGCATATGACATCACCAAAGTAACAGAAGTCCATCATGGACTTCGCATCCGCCCAGAAGAAGTTGGTTAAATTATCAAACTTGTCAACTTGTATTGCATAGAAGAATGATGGGTTATCTTCTTGCATCTTTTGTAGATATTCCAATGTAGCCCCTGCATCACCTACTTGAATAGCCTTCATCCGCTTGGAATGTAGGTAACTTCTATTATCTAGAGGAAGCAAGGTGCCATGTTGATGATTTATGACTTGACTGGGAACATCATCATCTGCAGATTCATTGGCCATGTCCGAAACATGATCTGAACCATTTTCTGCAGTCTCAGTTGTCAAGATATCAGTAGATAAAGAAGATTCTAGCTGATGGTTATGAAATGTAACAAACTCACTTACTCGATACTTGCCTGTAGATGTTCTTCTAATAACCATACATGCAGGACAACCAGTTCTAAATTCTTTTCGTGGTTTCCTAACTCTCTTTTCTCCTTTTTTCTGCTCACGGAATCCTTCTCTTGAGCAAACAAACATCCTTCTAGTCATTACATTTTCAGTGGTGACTGTCGCACTTGTTTTTCGAACACGAAATCCCATCCTTCCAGCATATGCACTGTAGAATTCATAGGCCTCATCTTCAGTTTCAAACTCAGGTATTCTCACTGTATCATCGACCAAGCCGGCTCTTGCTACTCGAGCATTGCGTCTCAACTTCTTGGCCCTCAATTTATCAAAGGTGGCCACTGTTGCGAGTTGATGGTTGTGGTTTGGTACGAATTCTGTCACACGATATTTCCCAGTAGGTGTGAGCCTGATGGTCATGCATGCTGGGCAACCAATTCTGGTTACTGCTCGTGGGCACTTAACCTCTCTCTCTCCTTTTTTCTTTTCTCGAAAGCCTTCTCTTGAGCACACGAATGTCCTCTTAGTGATAATATTCTTCGCTGATACTGTTGACGATGATCTTCGGACAATAAAACCTTCATTCTCAGCATATGTATTATAGAACTCATATGCATCACTTTCACTGTCAAACAACATATCAACCCTAGGTAACCATTTCATGCTACCTCCCAATGTTGTAGCATCAGCACTTGCCATGTCACTCATTGTTCCCTGTTGATTCATATAATTAATTGTCTTTGGATCAACAGAGTAAAAAAAGAGTATACTGAAAGAAAATTCATATAATTAATTAAGTAGCAAAAAAGAGTATACTGAAAGAAAATCCAACTAAAGTAGACAAAAAAAAATTGCATTGGCAGACAATTACATTTCACTGACAACTAGAAGTCATCCAAAGTTATATGTTTCCCTCACAAGAGTTAAAAAAAAGACCACCCTATGAATGTTTAACAAAAAGCACATTTAGAAATCACAAAAGTTGAAGTTTTAAAAAGAAAACAGTTTAATGCATTAGTCAATCCCCCTCTATTTCAAAGTTCACATAACATACTACGGGATTAGGACTATTCAATTTAAACAAATACATCTGCAAATTGAAACTTTTTTAATTAGCGAGAAGAATCGCCTCTTATTACATTAATAAAAAACAACTTCACAATTTGGAAGATAAAAATTTTCCATAAGAGAAATTCGGAATAAGCATTGATTTCAATATATATTTTCCTTGTTTTTCAGTTCAAAAAGATTATTCAACTGGATATATTTAGTTCTTGATTAAAGTTTCTTTTTGGTAAAGATATTGCTCACCAACATGCTATTCTGGTCAAATATTCGTATCAGATATGTTTTTGGTCAGAAGTTCCAAAAGCTGATTTTCAGAGAAGTACCTAAATCATTTGGCACATACAGAAACATAACTCCAGGAGCTTCATAAGGAAACGTATGATAATCAAACAAGAAAAATGGAAGGACAAGCACCTTTTGACTAACAATATGCACAGAAGGAAGTTCTGATATAGATGAATTAGGTGGTTGTGCAGCCCATGGAGTAGCCTGAGACAATATGACCAGTGGACTTGGCCACATATGCAGTAATGGTTGTACTGCTGGTGGATGGGCACCAACATTTACGGTTGTCACAGGCTGCAAAGGAGCAAAAACTACGGTGGGGGCAACAAAACTGTTCTTTTTCCTCTTTGTGCTGCAACCACCAAACACGTACATCTTCCCTATCTGCCTTATGTTGAAAACAATAATTCCAACTAGATCAATATTTCTGCACACAATTCAAATCTTTTCAATTATCGACTGCACTGAAAAATGATTACAAGTTGCTAAGAATAATTATAAATTTGATACTGTGAAGTTACACAAGACATGAGCAGTCAAAAAGACAAGATTAAGGTACCTTGAATCATCTGAACCACAATGGATAGCACGCCTACCTCGGAGAGGTTGATCCTTCAATAATGCACTAAAGAACCAACAAAATTTAACCTTATTAGAGGATTCAGATTGTCAGATCTTACTTGCAGCCATCTCATGTCATTTAAGGCTTTTTCCAGATTATCATATTAAAGAATACCACAGTTGGGCTAGGGCTATGCAAAAGCAAGACACCACAATATGATCTGTGGTTTCTGGCTAAACAAAGTCAAGATTTGCAAGTAATTAAACATTGATATAAGGTAATTTGGAAAAAATCAATATGTGAAAACATTGCAGCAAAGCAAAATTTCCATTCCATCATGATGTGCAAATTAAGGGAAAAATTTGGATTCGTTAGGATTGACTTTGATTCTAGTGGCAGTATATTTAGTTCATGACATAGGGGAATTGATGTTGCTAAACTACCTCACTTTTACAATGCTTATGTATTTTCCTATTTTTCTTCAAAATCATTACATTAAATGTTTTAGTTATTGACTTTTGATGTTGCTCTTGTCTGCATTTAGAGATTACACAGGTTTATCACTAAATCACTTAGGAAAAGCTAAAAGGTCATATAGTTTATAATCATTAATACTTAAAACAGTAAATAATTTGAACGCATTCTAAAAATATACCCCTTCACAATGATCTTATTGAATTTGATTTCAGATAAACAAAATTGGACATCTTACAATATGTAATGAAAATCTACATGGCTTCATCAAGTAGTTCATAAGAACGAAAGCCAGATTGATTCAACAATAACAAGTCATAAAGTCCTAACTAGTCGTCGTTGGCTACATGGTTCTTTTCCCGTGATTCAATTTCAGCAATACATCTTGTTAAATAACGAACATTTCAAGTATCTTCTCATTGTTTCAATGGAGTCCTCTTATGTCTTCCTTTACATTTCACACCACTGAAATCAACTTCATTTTATCCTCTATCAAGGTGACTTATTTGTTAAAAAAGAAATATTTCATTTTCAATCCTTCCTCGTCATTCACCATAATATCTTCACATCAATTACACAAACTTTTTGTACATGAAACCACCCAACAATTGGACACATAAAGCACGTCTAGCATAATAAGTATCCTATTTTTTTGTTTTAATCTAAGGAGTACCTGATGATTATACAAAACCTCCAACATCTTTGCCCACTTTAATCACCCAGCTTTTGTTCTATGAACAATATCCTCATCAATCTCTCAATCCTGTTGAATTATAAACCCAAGATATCCAAAACTACTAAAATTACATTTCATATATCTATTTTCATCCTAGTGAATCTACAATCTTTAATTTTCAAGGTTTATCCTCATACCTTACATTTCATATATCTTGCATATGACTACCAAGTTTGTTCATTACCAATGTATAATGAATGTAGTAGGATAAAGACATAAACTTGAAGCAACTCTAGTTGTAGAGAACTCACTAGATATAATCTCTACAATCCTAACACGGTGACCGCGCTATCATACATATCTTTTATGCCACCAATGAAACTAACCGATACATGCTTCTTTTCTAAAGCTCATCATCATGAAAATCCATTATAGTCTGATGTCGACAAAGAGAAGAATCATCAGACAAAAGGCAAAAGCCACCAGAGCTAAAGTGCTATGCCAGCATTAGTTTTTATTTTCCTTTTTTTTTGTTTGTTTAATATCGTTTTCTCTCTTTCCTTTTTTCTAAATTCACTCCCTCTGTTTCTCATTCTCTTCTTTTCATTCAGTCTCGTCACTATATCTGTTCAGCATGCTGAGCGCCAACTCGAAATATTTTGCTCAGAACTGGTACCAACCTACTAAGGTAGAACATCAAATGGTGATGAGCTCGATTCCGGTTTCCAAACTGCCTCAATGGAATCACTAACAAAGTAAAATTCGTTGTCTTAGACAATCTTCTTCATTAAATCAGCACCTCAAGTATTCATCTTTGCCCTAGCACGTCGTTCCGGAATAGAATAAACCCCCAAAATCCCAAAAAGGAACTCCAGATCCAAGAACAGAAATACATCGAAACATATGTTCTGGGAGAGAGGCAGCTACATGGCCGATAAACGCGGCTACGGCAAAAAGATCCACAAATTTCCCAACAAGGACAAGAGCCCTAGCATCCAGAAAGGAGGAGAAGGGGAGAACGGAAGAAAGGAAGCCAGGAACTAGCGGCCGGAATCGCGATCGAAGGGCACGAAGGTACCTCGGATCGTCGCCGGCGAGAGGGTGGCTGGAGGCGGCGTTTGGGGATCGGCGGCTGCGAGAGAACCGGCTCCGGTCTTGTTCCGGATTCGCGGATTTCCTGTGCGTTCCGAGGACAGGGTCCAGAGTTTCTCAGTCGCAGGGTCAGTGGGTCCCACCGAGACGAAAAACTACAGAACGGGTTGGCAAGTGGACCGTGAATGATGAATAAATAAATAAATAAATATATATATATATATATATATATATAATTTTCTTTGGGCATTTGAGAGTATATCTTCTAATAAAAAATTAAAATGAAAGGACAAAAAAGGTACGGATTGTGATGATTTAAAATTCAAATACTTGATTGAAAGATAGAGATTCAATTCAGATATATCAACAAAAATAACTCGATGTGATGATTAAGATTTAATTATTGACACCTCTTTGGAGGCAGTGATGAGATCTCAACCAAGAAAAATCAACATTGATAAGTCTCATTTCTACATAAAATGTTGGCTAATATCTTCTTTATGTTCTTACGGTTCTTTGGTTTTTGGGAAACAATTCCGCATTGATGATTAATCTTCTAATTAGGACTGCACAAGCAAGTATTCATCATCCATAGCCAAAAGAACACCCACCGCAATCAATCGCAAGATAGTAGTATGCACCTAAATTTGACACCAATCTTCATTAACTTCAGATAAGAATTAAAATGATTTACAGCTAAGTAAATCACATAAAACAAAGGACATCAAAAAGATCTGTTAGAATGAAAGAACCAAAATTTGCCCAACAACTTTTGTTGATGGATGTCACAAAAAAATATTTGTTAGAATGAAAGAACCAAAATTCGCCCTACAACTTTTGTTGATGGATGTAGCGACCCCTTGTGTAAGAAGAGAAGAAAAAATAAAAAAAAATCAAGTTATTTACAACAACAACAATAACAACACAGGTGATTATATATATGTTGCTACACACCGTAGTCCGTGTTTACGAAGCTCTCGTATTCTGTTCCCTTGAGGGCAGCATGAACGGCATCCCAGTTCTCTATCTGATCAGACAATGGCTTATTGTGGATCTTGACATGGCGGCTGAAAAGTTTCTGTCGGGGTAGTTTCAGAAACTCTAGGACATCCATCAGCTTCTGCGGAAACCAAACCCATCTACAGTTATGAGGGCTTGAACTACAGCATGTTACTGATACTTTGAAAGGCACAAGAGTCGAGAACTCACAGTCGTGTTGTTGACGAGATCCTCGTAGTAGAGAAGAATATGGCAGGAGCTCTTGAAGTAGCCTAGAGCTTCAGAAGCCCATTTATCTGTATGCTTTAGCTCAGGGATCAACAATGTCGTATTGATTGTGGGCTTGTATTGAGCAAGTACATCAGCCTGCATGCCACAAAAATAACAAATTTCAAGATCTTGCATGTATGCTTATCCACTATGGCAGGTTTGAGTCTGTCTCAATGATCTCAAAAGTTTTATGCAAGAACGTTTTTCGAGTGGAAGTAATACGCATCAAGAACATAACCTCATCCTTGGAATGTACATGAGCTTTATGGGTCCCATTTAGCTGCTTGGCATCCCGATCATGAGTATTTGCGAGTACTGAAACCAGACGACGAAGTAGATTTCTTCTGAAGAGAAGTATTACAGAAACCCCTCTCTTCTTGAAGTATTCAATAATCTCTTCATGGTGTTGCATGAGACCCTAGACAACAGAAAAGCACAAGAATTAGTCTAATCAAAAGTTCAAACTGAATACATATTAATTATATGCAAAAGCACAATTAAAATAGTGTGCCATTTTTATCACTATTTACTTCGGTAGAAGACATTTACAAACAAGAAAATTAGGTAAGTAAATTGTATTTTACAAACAAGAAGACATTTCCATCAACTTTTTATTTTTTCAATAAGATGCGATAGTTAAATTATAGCCAGAATGTTAATAGAACAACTATTTTGCAGAATGCAGCATAGAAAAAGGACTAATTACACTATTCTTTTAGAGCAGCAATAAAATTCAATTCTCAGATCAGAACTAAAACAGACAAAAACATTAAATAATCTAAAGAGGGAGTTTGAAATAAGAATCCAAAGGGGTGAAAATCATTGACACAAGTGTATTCCCTCAGCCTCATGCTGGTGCTTATCGAGGAATCGTCCAAGATACAATCTGGAGTTAGATTTTCCTGCACACACATACGTAGAAAATCGAATGGACAGTCCACACCAATGACTAGAAAATCAAAAGAATATCGAAAGGAATCGAAAATCCGAAAAGTGAAATTCGGTGAAGAAAAGAAATTGTGCCATCAAATGTGTAAAATGGCCAAGTAAAGAAGGGCTTAATTACATTTTCAGGCAAATCAAGGACTACCACATGGCAACATGCAAATGTGCCACGTGGAACACTGCATGCTTACTAGGCAGCAACAATGGGAAGAAGGAAAAACTTGCCTCATTATTGCACAGTGCAAAGCATTGTGTCCTATGCGCGATGAGTCGGGTCACACATGGAAACCAACCAAGAAAAAGTTACAAGAGAAAAGGCAAGGATAAAATTGTAATTTTAGTAGCTTTCTTTTGAACAAAACATATTGATAAGGCTCTAAAGGAAAAACACTAAAATTATAATTTTGCTCTTGCCTTTTCTCCCTTGTGCGTGACTTTTTCTTAGCTAATTTCCACGCATGACATGGCCCATTGTGTGTGGTGCATGACACTATCCAATGAGGCAAGTTGCACTGTGGGATGAGGCAAGTTTTGCCTTTTCTTCCCCATGCAATGTGCCACATGACAAACTCACATGACATCCCTGATTGGACCAAAAATCTATTTAAACCCCCTTTACTAAGCTATTTTACACAATTGATGACAACTTTTTTTCTTCTCATCCAATCTTCACTTTCCAACTTTTTTATTCCTTCAAACATTCTTTCCATTTTCTGGATACTAATCCATCAGTCCAATTCTCCACGTATGTGCATGCAGGAGTCAATCCCGGTTATATCTTGGATGATTCCCCGAAGGGAGCCAATACAAGGCCGATAGAATACGCTTAGGACAATAATTTTGATTCTTATTTCTAAATTCTAACTACCTCTTCAGATTATTTCACCTCTTTACCTACTTTAGATCTAATCAGATGATTAAATTTTATTCCTGCTCTAACATATTTTGCAAATAGGAGCAATCATTAAAACAATAAATCCTTTCTGACATCTTGGTTAGAAGTTTCTAAAGAAGTGCAACTTGCGGCCTTCATTTTCTAACAAGTCTGGAAGTAAAAACTAAAAGGCAACAGCAAGAATTATTGCATCATTTTAGGGAACATACCAAAGTTAAAACTTTAAGGTCGACCACCTAGCTTTCATGAGTATACAATAGAACAGAAAAAGGAGTATGATTCTTCGTATCATACATCAATGCTATAGATGTAAAGTGATTACTCCGAAATAAAATATAGCAATTTGGTAGACGATATCCAAGAGCATTACAATTACGTAAAATGTTGAGCTATGACAAGATTACTAACCGCACTAGAATTTTGGAGTCCATTACTGTCAATCCTAGGTTATAGCTATTATCTAAGAAATTTAATAAAATGCATGAGCAGCTTAGATATACATTGGTTCACCAAGGAACATAACTCAAATCCAATAAAGGGCCTAAAGGATCCAAATCTAAATATGATTAAAGGAATTGCTTCAAACAGACCTATCACCACCTACTATTCTTTCCTCTTCCACTTCCTCCCTCTCTGCCTTGCACGAGGATCAAACAATAGAACCTTAAAACCTGTCCATATATATATATATATATATATATATATATATATATATATATATATATAATGCTGAACATAGTACGTAATGAATAAATCACCATATTGCTCATTTCTCTCCAATCATGAAGCAGAATTCTCATCTGTAATTAGTTGGACATTTCCTTTAAGAACAACAACAACACTGATAGGCCATAATGTCCCAACTATTTAATGTCGGTGACATGGACCTTTATTCATAATTTTTGGTAAGATCTTCTTAGATCCCCTTACCACTTTTCGTACAACTACAATTGATTATCTTACCGTCTTCTAACTATAGCACATATCCGTATCTTTTAAAGGATTCTTCCTCAGTTTTCTTTCTATCAAAGTATTCACTAACAAAACTATTTTCTATTTTTCCTAATAACTCAATATTTCATCTCCACATCACAATATCACAAACCTTTTGTACATGGTGCTTTTTAGTTGCCCAGTTCTCAAAATCTAGCACCAAACTCGAAGGTAGCATACTTTAAACTGCTATACTTCATTAGAAAAGCCTCTCTGAATTTAATCCAACTATTTGGTCAATTATAGTGGAACCATCATGACAAATGTGCTGGACAGCTACATAGCAACCAAGGGTGTTCAAGGCACTTGATTAAAAACAGGGGTCATGCCTGATGCTAAAATCCCTCGAATGGACTTCAAAACGAAGCATTTTATGTTACAGAATACGCTTCAGTCCCTTCTCTTACTCTTTAGAGAACCCACCAAAATAGAGCATAGGCATGGTGTTCAGGTGGGTATGGAAGAAAGGCAAGGAAGCCATGAGAAGATGAAAGTGAGGGATTTTCCATGTGTTTGGTGAGTCCGGGGAAGATAAAAGTGGAAAGGCAAGAAAAGAACAAGTTTCGCCACGGCTCCTACAAGGGTACCTCCTCCTTATGTTATGTTACTTATTTATTTAATAATTTTCCCTTCATTTCTAGAATAAACAAGAAAAAATAAAGGGCTTACAACTCATAATACAGATGAAAAACAGTAGGGCACAATCCGAGATCAAATTAAAACTGAGTTATATTGCAGCCCAGCTTCCGTATGGCCTACTATATCACCAGCCATGATTACCATAGAACCTGCTATGTCATTTACCATAAGCTTGAAATATCATGCATGCATGTATCTCACAGTTTATCATTTCAAAATGCAACAGCTGCCACCATAACCTTTTTCTTAAATCAAGCTCTACCATGGGAATGGTAAAAATATAATACATAACTATAAACCCACATCTCCAAATTTGTATGATTGCACCACATACAATATATTCCTTCATAAGAACCACAGGTATGATGGTAGGAGAAACACTAAAATGGAAGGGCAATCGGGGTAACAATAAAAAACATGTCTAATCAATCTCTACAATATATATTTTGCTGATCTAAAAAAAAAAGAACTAATTACGTATCATAAAAGGCCCAAAAAGTTGTTTTGGAAATGTTATATTGATACAATAAGTAGCCAGAATAAATAAGCCTGAGTTGTAGGCAGTGATCTAGATCCACATCAAACATTATCGAAAGAAAGGTTCTATTTTAAGATAGAAAGTTTACCTGATTAAGCATCCACTTGAGGCCAACAGCTGCGGTACATTCATTTTTAGAGGCACTACTATACCAATCCAAATTGTAGATTTTATCTAGTGTCTTTGTGATAGTCGAAATGTTACTTCTCCTTTCTTTCACAGAGAAAATTTCACCATTAGAGCTGACATTAACATGACTGTTTAACAATGTTTCAAACCACCCACTTCCAGACCTCTGCATCGATAGAATAGCAAAGAACCTAACCGGCGTGCAAGCACATTCTTCCCTGCAATATAAATAGAATGTTCACTATATATGCACCTGATTTGAAAGCTTTTCACAGCCAATCTAACTCCATACCTACTGTAACTAATGGGCTCTGGATAATGCATATAACGAAGCTCGGACTTTGGGATGCTAGGATCACGGCAAGTCTGCCTTGTTGATTTTACCTTCATTTGATTAGGTGTGACTAGGAGCACTCTCTGCTTTAGACATAGGGAGCATATATAGATGCCGCTGATCATGATCAACCCCAATACAGCCATCCACAACCCAAGAGGATATTTCTTTTGAGGCTTAATCACTAGGGAGTCCTGCACGCCCACAGGAAAACCATTTCAATAAGGTTGCACGCATTCTCCATGAATCCTGAAGCTAATCTGAAAACTTGATCTACCTTCCATGTGATCTTTTCTTGAAACAAGAGCTTAAATCCAGAAAGTAATCATATACGACATGAGACAGTCCAACAAGAATAAATCAAAAGGTGGACCGGACAAATCGAATAATCCTCAAATAACAAATATAAAAACAACCATAGGCATTGAAACAAACAATGTTATATTTCTTCGTTTGATGTATCCAAAGAGAAGCTGAAAACCAGAAAAATATAATATTTGTATCAAGAAACATAGACTTACCAACTTTGGCAAAGCATACGGTAAAACCATCAAAGATCCGAGTTTCATCTCAAAATAGAACGTCTTCCTCTTTTACCTTCTAAGCTACCACCATCAGCAAACGGGCGAAGAGGAATGGAAAGGGAAAAAGAAAGGAACGAAGCACCAATGTTCAGAGACGGGAAGAATCACCTTGTGTAAAAAGCAGCAGTCGTCCACCACCATCTTTCCCTTTGCCTCCGCCCCCTCCTCTGTCCCCAAATCTATTTCAAGAAAAGGCCTCCTCCTCCACGCCCATCACCTCCTCCCGTCCTCCGCTCCCCTTTCTTCCACCGTCAAGAACCAAATCCCGCTCCTAGGGTTAGCTTTTACTTCCTATTCCTGCCCCTCATTTTCTTGCTCCAGATCAAAAGCAAGTTTCCTTTGTCGTCCTTTTCATTCTTTTTTTGGTACCCCTTTCCCTCTCTCCTCCCTCCTCTGGATTCCAAATGCTGCGCCTCCACCGAAAGAGACCATGAGACGGGAACCTCTTAATTATAGTAAACATTCATTCAAAATCAGAACTTTATGCTCACACACTCTCCATACCACACGCTGCTTTCTCGGTCAAATGGGGAACTCGAGGAAGGGGAATGACAAGATTTCTTATTCTATCGATTTCCAGCAATTCCTACCTAATACTCCAATGCTAAATCCCCCCCCCCCCCGCTGCGGATGAACGGATGCGATCGCACCCATCTTGAGGTCGATCGCATCACAACGGTGCCGTATGCATCCGGAAGTAGATAGAATTGTGTTGCTCGTTTCGGTGGTCGTTGACACATCAGGAAACGATCTTAATCGCATGTCCTCATCCGGATTTCTAAATAGATATTTCATAAAATATTATGGATTTATAAGCTAAATTTATGAGGTGAGTATGTCATCATCATTATTACGTACGAAATCTATGGGGGGTGAGATTTCAAATACGAGACAGATGGGCCCGAATCGGTCGCTGCCGCAGCAGAACCAAACAAAAGCGGTCAGAATCCGTGCTGTGAGGTAATTAATTGGCGAGCCAATCACACTGTAAAGTGTGCGGTCAACGGTGCGTCCCTGCAAATGTTACAGTTTGACTTCGTTCGTCTCGATGCAATCTGTACTATGATTCTTCTCGTGTAATAAATAATTAATCGAAATCAAGATGAAAGATAAGATTCATGGAATTCAAATGGTTGGTACGATGAAATCGATGAAGTGAGAACGACGAAGGTTATCTGCGACTTCACGACCTCAGGTTCCTGGACGCAAAGCGGAGGATGAGGTAGAAGAACATCCGATAGAGCACCGCCCAGCCGACGAGGTAGAGAACCATCTTCCACTTGTATGACTCTGAGGTGCTGATGGATAGCTGACGCAGGACGTCGGCGCCGTTCACGGGGCGGTTCTCGAAGGGGTCGTGAAAGAAGACGCGGTCCCTCACGAACTCGTTCGTCAGCAGGCCTTCGTATGTGTACTTGAGGGTGGAGATGGTGTTCATCCATTTCCACCCGTTTGGGATGCTGGTGCGGCTGATGAAGTAGCCGCAGAAGAGGAAGAAGAGGGCCGTGAACGCGATGACCACCGCGTAGCCCAGGATGAAGCTGGGGACGACGGAGCTGACGAAGACCACGAAGGAGTTGGTGGCGAGCAGGGAGGCGTAGAGCATGATGAGGAAGTAGTGGAAGTCGCCGTGGAGGCGGAGGGCGAACCAGACGATCCCGGCGTAGGTGGCGGCCTGCAGCAGGAGGAAAGGGAGGTAGGTGACGAGACCGGCGATGGTGTAGGAGGAGGCGCGGTAGGCGTTGTGGGACGTCTCGCGCACGAAGATGAAACGCTCCTGGATGAAGGCCGGGACGGCGTCGTTGGAGGAGAAGAAGAAGAGGCAGACGGTGAAGATGAAGAAGCTGAGGCGGTTGGAGACGCCCTGGAGGTCGTCCTTGGGCCTCAGGAACATGGTGGCCATCATAAAGCCCATGACGGTGAGCACCATCTGACGGGAAAGGAACAGCTCGGGGGTGCGCCGGATGTTGATGAAGTTGCGCCGCATCAGCGTCCACGCCTCTGCCGAGTAGGAATTGGCGAACTTGGGAAGGCCTCGCAGGTCATGGGCGGTGTGCCGGCCGCACTCATCCAAGTTCGGGGACAGGTAGTCCTCCTCGTTCACCGTGTACTCGCTGTGCGGGGTCGACGACCTCGACCGGATCTCATTGGAGTACTCCGGCGACAAACTGCAGCAGCAGCAGCATCGATGAGCCATATTGCATGTATGTAATGTAGGAAACGAGAGAGACGACTCGCCTCCGCTGCTGCTGTGGCTTCCGATGCCGTAGCCTGTCCATGATCACGCTGCCGCTATGGCTGCCGCCCCACGGGGATCTGGATGAGGACCAGGGGCTCCGAAGGCTGTGGTCGAACTCATCTGGCCCTCGACGTTGTCCGTCGCCTGCGGCGGACCACTCCCCTGCTGCTTGGTGGACTGTCGAGATGGAATGGTGGTCGCCGTCGTTGGAGACGCGAGGCGGCTTCAGCCCGGTGAGGCAGAAATCGGCCAGCGCCTCCACGCCGAGCCCCGACTGATCGTATTCCTGGATCACGTCAAGGAGGTACTCGACGGCGCTCTCGCCGCTGGGGACCTTGCGGCCCATGCGGCTGAGATGGCCGCCCACGTCCCGAGGGGCTCCCATGAACATGAGCTGTCCGCGGGCGAGGACGATGAGGTGGTCGAGCAGCATCAGGATGCGGTGGGACGGCTGGTGAATGGTGAGGATGACGGTGCTCCCGGACCGCGCGATGTCGAACACCCGCTCGATCACGCTGTGGGCGCTGGTGGAGTCGAGCCCCGACGTGGGCTCGTCCAGGAACAGCAGCGCCGGCCCGTGGATGATGTCCACGCCGATCGATACCCGCCGCCGCTCGCCTCCCGACACCCCGCGCGTGCCTTCGTCGCCGATGTACGTGTTCCTCGACGACTGCAAGCAGAACAAGTTACACGTAGAGACAGAGAGGGGCAAAGGTGTTCGACCAATCCACATATGTATACCGTCAAACCGAGTTGGTCTATGAGCTGCTCCACCCGATGCTTCTTATGCGAGCGAGGGATTGAGCCGAGGCGGAAGTCGGCGGCGAACATAAGCGTCTCGTAGACGGTGAGCATGGGGAACAGGCGGTCGTCCTGCATGACGTAGGCCGAGACGCGCTTGATGAGGCCGGGGCTCATCTCCTCGCCGTGGAGAGACACCCTCCCCTTAAGCCTGCCGCTCGCGATCCGGCCGGCCAGACCGTCGAGGAAGGTGGACTTGCCGGCGCCGCTCGGGCCCATGACGGCCGTGATGCGCCCCTTGGGCGCGTACCCGGTGATCCGGCGGAGCAGGTCCACCTCCTGCTTCTCCCACCCCCCGCCCACCTTCTGCTTCTTGCTCACGGTGTACGTCAGCTCGGAGAACTCGAGGCCCCCGGTGAAGACCGCCGGCGGGGCGATGTCGATCGCGGTCTCGTGGTGGTGAATGGCCATCCCCTCTTCGTTCCTCACTGCGGAAGAGGACTGGGCTCCTCCCTCCCTGCGCATGCCGATGGGACTTATAGACCGGAGGAAGGAGACGAGGAATTCAGCACTCTCCGAACGATGCTGTCGTCACCCATCGTAGAGGTCGTTCGCGAATTCGTTTGTTTCGATACTGCACACGGAGTTTGTATCGGAGAAACCCCCCCCCATTCGATTCCATCGTCTTCGTCGTCGTCGTCTTCTTCCTGACGTTGTTATTTTCGGTCATGGCATGTTATCGTCTTCTCTCCGTCCTGTGACAGCGTTAAGCCAAGTCCCAAGATGGTGTGGCGTCTGTTGGTGGCTATAAGCCGGAGCAAGAAACAGCCATTGCATAAGCCACATCGAACTTAGCATCAGATGCGGTCGTCCAAAGGAAGACTGCTTAGATTTCGGATGGCATGTTTCTACCAGAAGAAAGCAACAGGGGAGGGGAGATTTTTATTATGGAAGGTGATACATCCGACAACTACGAGTTCTGAGATGTGATGTTCTATTAAAAGAAGACCAAAACTTGAGATGGTGATGATAGTGCACGCAGGATATACGAGGGCCGCCGCCTCCTTATTCGACTCCTCCTCCTGAGGGAGCAACAAACTAGGATAGAGAAGCGGCTCGTGTGAGGCGGCCGAAGGAAGCGGAGCGGGTGGCATGGGAGAGGAAGGCCGAGACGGAGTGAAGGAGCCCCACTGCGATGGCCATCTTTACCTGCCCTCGCTTGGGGATGGGGCGGGCCGAGCGAAGGTGCTTGCCACGCCTCGTCCCCTGGCCGACGTAACTGCTACTCATTCTCGGTTGCTAAGCTTTCTTTTCACTCTTTTAACTGAGTTGGATAGGAGGAAGAAGAGGAGAGGCCACCTTATATACAGAGATGAGGAGGAAGACGAGCAACTAATGAAGAAAATGTGTGCATCGACAGAGCACGAAGCCGTCCAACTGTTAGCAAGGTTTAGTTAGTGAGGTGTGGCGACTTTGGATGCACAGCCGCACGTCGCGTGACACGGATCTTACGATAACGTTGTGAGGGCATCAGACGCAGTATAGTATTAATGGTCACCGGCACACGGAGCTTTGTGCTGTGGGAATCTTGATAGGAAGTGCACATCAACAATGGAAAAGATTAAAAATGTGCATTCTGTAGCATTCAACAATAGATGATATATTTCTCCCGAGTAAGAAACAACTGAAAATAAAATGTAACTTGAATTCTGTATCAGACACTGTGATTATATGCTTCCTACGGTTTAAAAGTATAGCTAAAAGGAAGGAACACACAAAGAAGGAAGATCCGAAAAAAGAAGCTATGCGATACATCATCTCCTTTTTTAACTACAGAGAAACTACAACCCATCTGTTCTGTCCATGATCTACACCAGATGTGCGATGACTGAGAAGAAATAAGACAAGCAGAGTGATGCGATGTGCCAGATCGAGAAGTTTGCTCACCCTATGTGGCTCTGGAGAACCATGATGTCAAGTCCTTCGATCAGATTGCTGCTCTCATAGCACCGCGTGCTGCCTCACGCTTCAGCTCTGCAGCTTTCCCACTCCCTCGGAAGTACATGTATACTTGCTGCAAGAATAGTAAGCAAGTTATGCGTTGTTAGCGAGAAGGTGAATAGTATAAGCGTCTCCCTGAATTCTTATTTATCACAGAAAAAAAAAATCATTTCATAACATGAGAATTGACAAATGACAGGTCCTGTTATCACATAAGCAGGATTGCAGCAGCATTAGATTATATGAGCAAGATAATGTTCAACTTGATCTCTTAAATCTATGTAGCCATGTTTTAGCACATTCACAAGAAATTAATTCGTAATTGATGTTAAAACAGAGGACAAAACTTTTGAGTACCAACAACTTGAATATAGGTTAAGGAAGATGACCTGAATGACCCAGACGCTGAGCAGTGATTCAAGGCAGAACATTCCAAATCCAATAAAATAGAAGATCTACACACAAAAAAAGAGAATCCTGAGTTAAACAAAGCTACAAAGGAACCAAGAGAAAATGAGCTAGCAAAAAAGAAAAAAAAAGTTTCTCAGATTTGAAATGAAATATTTTCACAACTTCTTATTGGCTACCACATGATAAAACAAAAATACAGCTACAAAACCAGTGGTTCATATTGATCAATAGATTAAAAGATATTAGCATATATTGTTTACAAACACCTTGGTTATTAATTGATTATGACACCTGGATTTTCTAATGCCTCGTCACACCAGGCATACAGCATATTGTGTCGGTGGTTTTTAGCAGGCAAACAATTGACAGGGATAAGGTAGAATCTGTGTCCAGAATGCCATAGCTGGCAACAGTTTGTAAACCAAGTCCTGGTCAGTTGCATTCTGTAACAAGACTACATAGTACTAATGGAGTACTGAGTGTTTGGTTCTATGTGGTCCATGTTTATATGCCCAAAAATATGCTTTTGGGCACCTAAATATACAACTAAGTAATTGCATCTTTCATATAATGTAGAACCTACCCCAACCAAAAGATGATCACCGATGATATCCACTGCTGGCAAAATACCTCTGTAACAGGAACACAAAAAAAGAACGCGTTAGCAGACAATTATAATCTTACAATTTAGGAACAGTAATTAATTACAACTGATAACCATCCAATTTTTTTTAACCTTTCATTCATTCGTCCTATTTCATTTCGACTTCTTTCTTAACCTTGTTTGTAAGAAAACACTGGTCCTCAGAGGGTGACATTCAACTCTGCAAGTTATAACTATTTATAGTTTGAGAGAGAGAGGAGTTTACATTCCATCAGAAGAAGTGGCACATCAGTCATACAAACCCTGTTCATTAACAGGAGCCTCAAAGCGGAACATCAGCTCTATTGGGTGTCATACACATTAAAGTATGGTCTAGATTTTTTCAATAAAGCATCCAACATTATCTTATGCATACATAGCAAAATTCATCATGTTTTAATGCTTTTCCAAAGTATGTTATTCATTGTTGAAACCAAAATTCATAATTTCATGTACCGGTCAGTGCTCTGACCATACCAGTGTACCAATTGTCGGTATGCTGGTACATACCAAGTTTTAAAAAAAATAAAAAAGACCGAAAAACATTAAAATAAATAAATTTCCCACTACAAAACCTGTACTGACCTGTATATTACAGTACTGGCCAAGTATCAGGCAATACAGCTTATCCTGGTCCATATCAGTAGGTATTGTGAACCTTAATTGAAACATGTTTTTGTAGGTTTGGCAAATTAAAAAAGATATCTGCTGGACATAATATATGATACTCAAATTATATGAAAACTTAGTGTGACATGGACTCTTACATCCACACCATAACTGTGCGTCCAACAATCAGACATTTATCGGTCTCTTCAATTATACTGTTCCAGTATTAGATAATATGTAACAGTACAAGTAGATCTTTTCATGATTGTAACATTTCTTACAAAACCAAAGATATGAGATGCAATTTTTGTAATATCAAGAAGAGCTGAAAATGTAGGTAAAACTGCTATTCAGTTTTATGAACTGAATGAATTGGCACATGCTCTGTATGCCGCATACCCTTGGTATGGCACCAAGAGCCATGCCAGCCTACTTCATAATTTTTCTGATACAGCTGCTATTCAGTTGAAATTCACTGTTTCCAAAACATTTTTATTGAAGTCAATAAGCTAAGTACAGAAACACCTCATAAAGTTGGCATTCCAAGACTAATAAGGATAAAATGGACAAGCTCATTTAGTTTCACTCGAGTAAAATCATATAAGAAGTCATGACAGTTTGCTATACGTGCTATATATAAACAACAAAACAAAATAGTGAAAGAAAAGGCATGAACAGATCTACTTACGTCAATGATTTTCCCTTAAAGAAAATTGGAGGAGCCACTGCTGAATAGATCACAAAACCTATATGAAGCTGCAATAACAATAATTGCGAGTAGATAAAGGCACAAGGAATACTTCTCTCCCAGAAGATGATACCTCAGGAATCTAAAAGTACACAGATTAAAAAATAACTTACCACGTAAAACAAGAAAAACCATCCAAACTTTAAAGCACTTTCAGTCCTATAAGACACAGACAAACGCCATGTAAGTTTGTAAACTCCTAACAATGTTTATGATGCTGCTATAGTGCAGTACATAACTAGCATCATGCCTGAACTGAATCTGGCAAAAGCATAATACAAGTCAACATGGGCAGGTATGAAAAGTGAACCAGTCTACAATCTACAAACAGTAAAAATAGCTAGGAGCACGAGCATGGCATGCCATATTTCTATTTGTGTTATGTGATACACAGATGTATGATCAAAGTTCAATTCATAAGACTTTAGAAGCAAATACACAAAAGTATAGTACCTCATGGCACGATAAAGAGGTCTATACCACAAGACATAAGCTCCTGGGACACCTGCAATAAAGTAGATGATGGCAAGTAACCAGATCTTTACCCCTGGCCAAAAAGCAAGCAAAATTAGCTTCATTGTGGTAATGAGGAAATTCACTATGCAGGGCAAAATAGTGTTAAATACAGGACAAGGTCAAACTTTATGATTACCTTCCCCCTTAATCCAAGCTGCTGTAACGGCTATTATATTCCAAAAGAGGCATGCAAATAACCCTGAAAAAAGTCTAAATTGTGAAGTTTCATGCTTTAAACATCAACAAATTAAGTCAGTGTTATTTTGAGTTATATAAACCTATACCATATACGTAATTTTGATTCTTGTTTCAGGAATCACATTCACCAACACATACTAGGTAAACAATTAGGTATAACCCTAATTAAAATGCATGATCCAAGAGATATCTTGTGAGTACACTTTGACTATACATCCAGAATGCCTAGCTAACAGATTCCCACTTTGTAACTATAGATTTATAAGTTCAACCGAAGCAAGAGAATGCTTCCAAAACAGTAAAGCAATTGATAGAACATTTAAAAAAAGTGTAGAAGTTGAAACATACCTAGCAATGATGCAAATGCAAAGTACTGCAATCTCTGTACGTGGATAGGAATCTCATTTGCAATATCATGATGAATAATGGGAAAAAAAGGCGGCCAATTTTTTTCTTCTATTACAATACCAGCTGAAAAAGCAGGAAAAAAAAATCACATTAACAAGGATGAAGTTATCTGCTAAATGAGAAAAATAAGAAATCAGTGTCTACAAATAAGAAGCCGAGATGTTACCCCGGGCTGCAGCCTCTTCTCTACGTTTAAGTTCCTACAAGACAGAAATAATGAATGAGCAATAAAGATATAGCAAACTAAAATAGAAACAAGAATCAGTGGGAGAGAAACCAGCAGTTGTCAAATACTGGGTATGGATGGAGCCTGTCTCTATCATGGTCAAGAAACTAACATATAGCATGAATGTTCTGTAGAAACATAAACTAAATAGTTTCCACATAATACAGTTTCATAGTTCATGAAAAACCCCAATCAGTTTCTATGTAATGGGATGCTCATTACCAAAATATATAACTAAAGAACTTAAAGTCATATGCCTAGAGCATTTAAACAATATATCAGCTTAGAAATTGTCCAAAATGGTATCCATTATCCATCAGGCCCTGCTACATTCTGCGCTTGAAGAACTCTTTCAGTAACCCACCAGTTACCTAGACTTCAATATGACATCTTCTAATTACTTTTTTTACTTTCAACTTTTATGGGGCACATTTATGTCCTAAGGTTATGTGTCCCACCCACAAATAGCCTTTCCTGCAGCCATTAGTATGGAGAAAGATTTGTGACACAGATTTTTAAAATTGGTTCTGATAATAATTGCCATGCCTCACTACAAACCAGACCATAAACTAGATGACGCCAAGCACAACAACATTACATGAAATTTATCAACTTTGTAAATGAAAGCTGTCAAGAAAATCCTTATATCATAAATACCACGTTGAGGAGATCATGGATACCATATTCAAAAAGTTAGATTGGATATCAAGCACCAGCATTGGGGACTGTTAATGTAGCCAACTCCTTGATTTGTGTTTCTAAATTGTATTTCTAAATTATACATACAATATTTGTATCAAGGTTCGTCGTACCATGACATACCGCTCGGTACAAGCACTATGTACCAATCCAATACATCAGTATGGCCCCATGAACCATATGTCAGTATGTTCGGTATGGTTCGATACGTACCATACCGACAGCTAGTCAGTACACCGATACGGACCGATAAGGTGAACTATGATTGTATAATATTAGAGTTAAAACAAATGGCATGGAAAATCCGGGGCAGGGAATTGCAGCATACATTTATTTCAATGCCTCTATTCATCAAGGATTCTCTTTGCTAATGGACTTGACAAATGCAACAGGATAAATACAATTATAACCCAGTTATTCTACTAAATTCATGTTAGGGCAAAAGATCATATTACATTTGTTCTCTAACATTATATTTGAATTCAAATGGACATCTCATCTAACTAATACCATGACGAGTTACTATTGCATATATTACTATCACTGGTATTAGTTAATGAACAACAATATCCTTCTTGTTTCTTAACATAGATACTGCTAGTTAAAGGAACAAAGAATCAAGTGCGTACGCCAGGATGTATTTCTAGTGCCATTTCTACTTCGTACTTTAGTTTCTTAAATAGCAAGATCTCAGGATACTCATGAAAGCAAACGATCATAAATGTCAGGCACACCTCAGAAAAATATGAACCGTAACAAATTGTATCCTGTCATACTGTATAACTTGCAAATCAGGTATGCATCATAAAGTTTCATAATATATTTGGCTTTGACATCTTATGATGCTCACAGACATACAAGGTCATAAAGAAAAAATGTGTCAATTTTTTTCTTTCTACTTAAATATGCCCGACATGTAATATAATTTCATTTGAAAATTAGAAAAATTATACTTGCAATTGTGAAATTCAAGCAACAGCAATCATTAAGCTCCAAATGGCTCCATATCTAGCAAGAAAGATATGCTTGCTTTCCCTACTTTGCTCCAATTGTCAATATGATTCTTATACAACAAAGTCAACACAACACAGCACACCACATAATGAAGGCATGATGATAACCTTAAGCTGCACCAACATACTTATGCTTCAGAACACAGACACAAGTAAGAGACGAGATTAGGTAAAATTGAAGCTTCTAGACTATTTACAAAAGTTGCATGCATCAGAATTCAATGATATACCTTTTCCTTCTTATTTAGTTCGGCCTCCTTGGCTTGTAGTTCCTTCTCCTTTTTCCTCAGGTCCTACATGAAAAGAGAAGGAGGAGAGCATAATCAAGACTGCAACAAGAGAATCCAATACACACACACAATAAATCAACTGAGATTATGACATCAATAAGGTTGCAACCATTAGAACAAAACTCCCTGCAACTCCACATACCAATACTAGATCAAATGATCCGGCCATGGTAAAGTATTTGTAGCATATTTGAAAGCAAAAAGAAGCCTACAGCTAGAAACAAGCTAACTTGTTGTCCTTGTTAATTAGACTCTGTGTAGCAATGGACTGGTCTGATCTCATTGTTAATATAGCTTACTGAAAATTTGCACAAACCTTTGCTGTATCAAGAGGAATATCAATAGTTGCACTGCGGTCATTGTAGAAATCAGCAGGTTCTGGAGGAAGTGGTGAAAGCCTGGAATTTGATGCAGGAGGAACAGTTGCTGGATTCTGCAGAGTTGGAATAAGATATTGGTGAAGTCAAACGATACAAAATGGAAAACAGCTAGCAAAACAACATTGCAACTGATTTAGTCGAGCAGGTAACTTCTGCATCTCTGGTTCAATCATAAAACCATATAGAATTACCACATGCATGACAATTAAAATAAACTCACTACCATGTAGAATGGGCCTCCTCCATAATTTAATCCAGTTGCCTTTCCACGAGCTCCAGTGTCCTGCCACAGGAAATAAGAACACAAAATGAATGTAGACCAAGGATCGTAATTTCGTACCGTACCGGAGTATCGAGTTCAGCTCGGTACGATATGGTACGGTACGGTGCGAGTATACCGAGCGATACACTCTGGCATACCGCTTGGTGTGTGTGTGTGTGTATATATAATCAAGTTAAACAAATAAAAATTAAAAAAAATAAAAAAGGAGCGACGTCGCGTCGTTTCTTCTCCTCGCGTGGGGAGAAGAAAACCTCGAAGCCTCAGCGACGTCACTAAGGTTTCTTCGCGGGAAGTTTCTTCTCCCTACAAAGCCTTGACGACGTCGCCGAGGTTTCTTATCCCCGTGCAGATTAGGAGAAGTCACCAACGACGTCGAGGTCTCCCCGTGAAGCCTACGCAACGTCGTCAAGGTTTCTTCTCCCCGCGCAGGTTAGGAGAAGTCACCGACAACGCCGAGGCCTCGTCGCCTTAGACGAGGAGGAGACGACATCTCATCTGCGGCGTCCAGCGAGGGAGGACGACGACGAATCGGGATCATCGAGAGAGAGCGACGCCGGATCTCTAAGTTCTCCCTCGACTAATACTAGCCAATAGCGTGCAGCGACAGTCGAAATCGACCGTCACCGATCGATTTCGGGTGGTAACAAGGCGGAAACAGCCCTAATCGACGGTACCGCCTAATAGCATGCGGTCCGCATACCGGTTTGCTGGCGGACCGATATGTAACGCCCAATACGGGAGGTATCATTCGAAATTAAAAACCCTGACTTAGACAATATAGTGGAAAAAACAAAAACAAACAGCAAATTATTTTCAGATATCAAGGCAATATAAACTTAAAACGATCATGAGGTGAAACACAAAAAAGCTCCTTATGCTACATTCCTATTTTCTTACAAAACATGCCTTTGATTATTTTCTTTAATTTAAGCAGTTCCTTCAAGAGATCTACAGTATTAAATTTTCAGTAGAAAATATCAACCACGAAAGGAAAGACAATGCACCAACCAGAAACATCATCGGTTTTAGCTGCGATCGCTTCATAATATGCATTAAGCAGCACATCGCTCAAGCGTAAACAGATATAAGAAACAATTGCCTTAGCGAACAGAAACTATGACAATATTGCTTGATATAGCAGGGCAAAACCTCGCTAGAAAAGCTTCTTTCCAGCTACCAATGCTGATAGTCCCATTAAGGTTCCTCCACAAGTGGGTCAATGTTATTTCCAAATAAGCTTGAAGATCAGAATGCACAAGGAAGTCGTTAACCATCAACAATTGCAAGCCCCTATTCCTCCGGTCCAGAAACCCACGCAATCACTATACAGATTCAACTGCCTCGGCTGAAATTTTTCATAAAGATGGTGTCATCTGAATTTCTCTCTATTCTTTATCTTAGTTGCTGATGCTTATCCTCATTCTAAAACATGAGAGATAACTCTGTATCAACCATGGATAGCAGCTCATCCGCCGAATCGATCTAAACAAGATGACTGGCATCTAATTGGAATCAAACATCTCGAATCAATCAAAACTTCCATTTCATTGCAGATCTAACACAAGCAATAATTTTAACCTAGTAGGAGTAATTTCAGCTTAACCGACCCCACACCATCGGATCTAACAAAAACCATTAAGCAGAGACGCCAAGTGTTTCGCGAAAACCCATCAACCTCTAAAAGTAAAAGCACCAATCTGACAGCAAATAAAAAAAGGAAAAAGAGATAGCAAGAACCTCAGATCTACAAATACCTCGACGAGGGAGAAGAACACGAACCTAATCGGGAACGATCAGATGGACGCCAGGGGGGATCAACACAAAGTCGAACGAGACATAAAGACTTAGAGAGCGAGATGCAAGCGGGGTAATCGAAAACTCGACTCACCGCGAAGGGATTGACTTCCTCCTCCTCCTCCTCGAAGGGGTTGCTGTCGTAACGCCGGGCCATGAGACGGGCGACCGAGGGATCGAGCTCTACGGGAGTAGTGGCAAAGAATTGCGGAGATCTCGAGCTTCACAAGGACGAATCGAAGCAGAAGAGGGCTTGCGGCAAGAGTTGGTCTTTTTTCTACGTGGACTCCCGAAGTCTCCCTTTCTCGATGTCGGGTAGAAAGACCGATTTAGTTCCCCTTTTTTTCTTTTCTCCTTAATATTTGTTATTTTATTTTGGCCATATTTCACAGAAAAGCCCCTCTTTTTCTTTTATTTTTCAGCAGAGCATCGATATTTTGCCAACCACTAATTCGGTATTTTACTTCCTTCTCTTCTTTTTAAGTGAAATCCAAATGAACCATTTAATCCGAAATTAATAATGTTAATATATTTTTATTCAGTAATCTTAAAATTAAGAATAAAGTATAATAAAATAAAATAAATTCATACTTAAAATAATTTATAAATGTCTAAATATGAATAATTCTAGAAATTCTAAAGTTCTCGGGAAATAATTTATAAATGTCTAAATAATATTTTTTATTAATTTTATGCCTTTAAATAGATTTTTTTAATTTTGTCTTAGTTCAAGGTATAATCCTTTAGATAAAAATCACTTGAATATCAATATAAAAGATTTTAGGAAGTTTTAATAATACAAAAAAAATAGAAACCTGAGTTATATTGTTTTTGAATGAGATTTACACTTTTTTAATCTATCCAAAAACAATGTAATTCATTCAAAAATAATATAACTCATCTCACTTTTTTTTCAAAAATTCTTAAAATTTTAAGAGCGATCGAATATATTTTTGTAATCTTGGAAATTACGGGGTACTTATGGACATGAGAAAAAAATAATAAAAACAGAGACTTACTTTTTTTAGGAAATTTGCCACTTTCTTTTTTTTTTCATTTTGTTTCTTCTATTTTACTTTTTTTATTCAAAAATTAAAAGTCATTAGACTTTTTTTTTTTGTTTACTTGAGTATTATTTTTAGAGGAACGGACAATTGCTTCGAGGAACAAGGAAATCAAACAAGGAACTCATAATGTTTGTGGCGGCTTTGACGTCAAATGAGGCTAAAAGTCAGCGGTCACCCAAGAAAACCCTTCAGGTGAAGAAAGATTAATGAGCCCTGCTAATGTTAGATAGACTAATTCTTCTGAATGGCGGATTAAAATAACCCCCCTTTCTTTGTCCTTTAGCAGTCAAACAAACATGAGGATTCGAAGCTTCTTCCGTGTCGAGGTTTTGTTTCGTGTCAACCAAGATTACTCCCTGGGGGGTTTCATTCCTTGCTTTTGACTCTGGACATCCTCCTTTTCTTCTTCCACAAGAAGCTGCTGCTGCAGCAAATTCAAGCTCTTGGAACTTGCGTGTTGAGAAGGAGGACATGATAGAATGCAATCCATCATAATATATGTTTTGATTGGGCGATTAATGATTGGAAAAAAAACCTTTAATTATTAGAGAATGATTCGATATGTATTTATCTTTAACGTTCCCTCTCTCACGTGCAAATCGGATTAGATTTGGTAATGTGAAATTAAACCCAAATGCATGAATGGTACAAACCAATTAAAGAAAGACATTAGACGGATACTCGTAATCTATGTTAACATCATGATGAATATTTTGATTGAATGATTAATAATTTCAAAAGCTTAAGCAATTAGAAAATGATCCATTTACAGACCACCACTCGTATCATACATACATTAGCATAATCTGTCCCTTGTGAAAGCAATGTCAATAGTTGGATGACACAACATAAGAAGCAGAAGTATAAATTTGCAATCAACAATTTTTTCTCTTTTTTTTTTCCTGAACAAACCAATCAAATTAAGAGCCAATCAGTACCCTCAAAAGAAACATGACAACATCTATGCAGGATCCTATCAGAGGGATATAATTAATGAATGCCACCAAATTATTCAATATGCACAAAGCTATTACACAGATGAACAGGCAAGGCTATACATCTCCTCCAAAAAGCCAATGGTGAAGAGAGATTTTGTAAGAAAGTAACAGATGTAATAATTGTCATAACATCATTTCTAGAGTTTCCTGACCTAAGCAAAACATGCTGAGCCATTCCTAACAGTGTCACTCATATAAATAAAAAGATCTACGATATATGTACCTTCACAAGTATATTTAGTGTCACTAGCAGGCGTTACCTCATAAGATCCATCCGGTATCTCTGTTCACTCTTGTTCATAGCAACCATGGAAAAGGTTTACAACAGTACATATATGTGCTCCTATTCATGGCATAAACATTTTGGAAGAGTTTCTGCTTCAAGCGGCAGATGCTGAAGAATGTCGGTCACACAACAGGGCAAACAAAAACATCAACAGTAATGATAACTATGATCGCAGAAGAGGGGCGAGCTGTGTGCTAAAGAGATCACCAAGAGCTCCACGAATGTCCATCTGAAATAAAAAGAAAATGATAAGCGTACAGCAATCTATTGAACCTCAAAATGTGGATCATACATAAGCCAAATAATGAAATAAAGAATGATTTCTATGTATACGTAAATGGTTGAAGGATGATCTATTCCATGAGAAGAGATCATACACCCACGTGTATGCATGAGCGCGCGCACTCAAACACACATTCGTGCATGTAGATGTGTGTGTGTGGATGTACATGCATTTTGACCAACTGAACCTTCCAGTATTTCTTCATAAAGCCACAACTGGAATCAACTGTTTGCAATGAAAAACAAGATGATGTCCTTAAAAATATAATACAAATATATTATATTTTGCAAGCAACAAGCTACAACAGATTAGGGAAGATTAGTGAAGAAGATCTTAGCATATAAAAGAAGCAATGGTTTAAGCTCGATGCTTCAGCTTACATAACATGATCTTTCGAATACTATAAGACTTACCTGATCACAGCAAACAAGTTTGGTGATTAGTGGATAGAACTCTCTAAGATGCTTTCTGAATATTAAACTATCCATACAGCACATTCGTTTGAGTACCTGAAAGATCAAATAGAAGTCTAAGAAATTACTGAAGGTAACAACTGCCAGTATTAAGGAAGGATCATAACTTTTCTTGAAGTATTTGAAAAAAAATTATCACTCAATAATAGTAGTTATATTATTGTATCCGAGTTATAAAGGGATACAAAGGGAGACCTAAAAATGTGATCTGAACAGCAAATTGGTTCTTCAGGGAAATTTTTGGCTGTAACAGCAAAATGAGGCTACAATAGCAGAAAATCCAGAGATCTGATATTACTTCAAAACACAGACAAACCTAAGAATTTTCACTGAACGCCAGACAAACACGGAGGATACAGATTTAGACATGAAAGTAAAGATAACAAATAAATCCAAGAAAGAGGTTAACAGACTATTGAGAAGAAAATGTCCACTCAACATCCTTTTTCCTCTTTTGGCACTCATCTTTTCCCAAATTTAGCCTACAATTTAATTAGAAAAGTAGCTTACCAATCTATTTAAGTATTTACCAGAACTAGAAGGAAAAATTGCATATATATATCCCTCCAAACTTAGTGATTTTTGTATTTGTCCATCTAAATTTAAGTTTAACACACTATGTGTGTGTGTGTGTGTGTGTGTGTGTGTGTGTGTTATGTGTGTGTGTGTGTGTGTGTGTGTGTGTGTGTGTGTGTGTGTGTGTGTGTAAACTTTTAGATATCTTATTATATTTAATCTCTGACAGTTGACTATCAGCAGAAAAACTCCAATTAAACATTAATAATCTTCAAATTAGTTTCCTCAATTTTGTATTTGCCACATAAAATTTATGTTTAAAGAAAAGGGGTTCAAATTATCAATGAAAGTGATATGACATATGAGTCAATCTAGATGTTTAAAATTTTAATATCTTTTAAGATCATTGATAACCATGGTTGGTAATGGTTGACTCGGGTTTATCGGACAGATGCTAATTGGTGTGGCATGCACAGAGGATTTAAATATTTGAAGGGATATATGTGTGATATCAAGATATTTGGATGGATATATAT